ATGTGACTCTGGTGAATTAACACCATTCCTGAGGACTTGGCTCAGGAAATCATGATCTTTTCTGCCATGACAAGGGAGCAGTATTTTCAGCATCTACTTAATTAAAAGCTAGAACTGGATACCATTTCCCTTTCAGTCACCATTTCTTTATTTAAGTGATTTGTTGTCCCTCTATGGCAAATGAGCATAACAATAGATGTGTCCCAGTGGATTTTTAGGCAGGATTTTTCTTCCCTGCTTAAACGCTGGGCTAGACTTCTGTGTCTAAAATACTTGTCTGGTCCCCTTTACGTTTCTGTGATTCTTATCCACGTCCTCTCTATATCCTGTTTGTGCCAGCTCCAGTCTTATTTTCAAATTTTAGTGAATAAAATCTTAGATTTTTTGTTGTTTTTAAAAAAGGTGTGTGTGTGTGTGTGTACACATCACTACTCTGGCCTAAAAATTACAGTTGTGACTCCCACTTTATTCCAAGTTCCTCAGTGGTGGCGTGTCTCGTCCTTCCGACCAGCTTGCTTTCCCTCTTGACCCGCTCTCCTCCCATCTTGGAGTCTGAAACTCAGTCTTACTTGTTGTGATTGGGTCTCAGAAATCACCTGTTCTTTCCTCCTCCTTCTGGATTTCCTGACCCCATTATTTTCTTGGCGTAGCTGTCCTCGTAAGTTTGGTTTTCTTTTTTTGCCCTGAGTCTTCCCTGTCACATGCTCCTGGCAGCCTAGAGGGGCCGTGGAGCCTCTCTCTAGTGACCATCAGAATAAAGTGAGCGTTGTTAAAGTACTTTTGCTGCAGCTAAGGCAGAAGCTGCTGAGATCTACTTTAGAGTTATTCCCGCTTTTATATTTCTCCCCCTCTCCTCTCTGGCCCCTTGGGAAATCAGCTGATTCTGTGTGGGAGCCCAGTGTAATGGGGGGAGGGTGCAAACAGGAGGGGAAGTGTGGAGACTGGGGACAAAGTAGACAAAAAGACTGTGGTTTGAGGCCATGAGGAATACTCTGCTCTGACTGAAGCAGGGCCAAGAAGTAGGCAGAAGGCACGGTATCTTTTGTCCTCCTGGGTTTTAAGCACCTGCAGCGGGAGGACGAACTCCGGCTTGTACAAGGCCGACAGCCGAAGAGAAAAAACCTCTGTTCCTTTGTCATCTTGATATGGAGGGTTCTGCGGAGGAGAATAAAGAGATGAGATATTACATGCTTCAAAGGTAAGTGTTAGAGGGCCCTGTCTAGGCAGTATGTGCCTTCAGAAAGCAGTAAAGGTGTTGACAGCTAAGCCCTGGAATTTATGGGCAATCTGATTTGATGACTTTTTTTTGTGGGTCTGTAGGAAACTCTTTTTTTTTTTTTTCTTAAGGAAATGAATTAAAAATCTCATGTGTGCTCCTGAATTCCTGAACCTTTACTTTACACTCAGAATTTGAACCAAAGATACCCAAGACCATGTGTGACATTGTAGCTACGTTGAAAACAAGCACCCTTGTGCAGACCTTGCTGTGAGCTGCTCTCTGGTTAAGGGATCTCAGTCTGTGCCAAGTGTGGTCACTGGGCTTGGCTGGACTTTCAAGCGTGAAGTTGTTTCATCTATTTTGAAGGGAAATAGCGACCCTGGATAGTAGGTAGCATCCCGTCAAAGGTAGTTTTGCAGAGAACTTTTTAGACTGTATCTCTGGGGCCAGGAAAGGTGCCCTCTGCTGTTGTCCTGGTGTCGTGTGAGAGTGGGCAGCCAGCCTGGAGTCGTTGAGGGTGGCAAGGTGTCCTGCCTTGAATCTTTCTTCTTCCTGCAGTTAGAACTCAGCCTGAGGAGGAAGTGAATCAGGCCTGCTTGGCCTTCTTCAGACTTCTCTTTTTTATTTATTTATTTGACCACATCGGGTCTTAGTAGCAGCACATGGCATCTCCGTTTAGAGCACGGTCTCTCTAGTTGCAGTGTGAGGGTTCAGTAGTTGCAGCCACGTCAGCAGTTGCGACTCACAGACTCTCTAGTTGTGGCTCGAGGGCTCTGGAGGGCCAGGGCTCACTAGTTGCAGTGTGCAGGCTTAGATGCTCTGTGGCATGTGGTATCTTAGCTCCTCAACCAGGCACTGGGCCTGCATCCAGTGCCTTGGAAGGCGCGTTCTTAACCACTAGGCCACCACGGAAGTCCCTTCTTTCAGACCTCTTGCAGGTCTGTCCCTCTCCAGTAGAGGGTCGACATGAAAGGCCTGAATGATTTGCTTGATGGCAGTCATTAAATGTCTCTCTAGTATCTCATGTGTGTGTTTTGTGTACTTGTTTTATTTTTGCATTCTGGAGTTTTTATTTAGAAAAAAATTACCTGAAAATTGAAGAGACCTTGGCAAATATAGAAACCAATGAAAAACACCAATTTGGCAAAGGTTGTCTTTAATCATCCTTTTTTCCTTTTTACTTGGCTTATTCCACCTGTTGCAGGATGAAGCAAGCATTGTTTTAATTGGAGGCTAATTACTTTATAATATTGTATTGGTTTTGCCATACATTGACATGAATCAGCCATGGTGTACATGTGTCCCCCATCCTGAACCCCCCTCCCACCTCCCTCCCCATCCCATCCCTCAGGGTCATCCCAGTGCACCAGCCCGGAGCACCCTGTGTCTCGCATCGAACCTGGACTGGCAATCTGTTTCACGTATGATAGTATACATGTTTCAATGCTATTCTCTCAAAGCATCCCACCCTCGCCTTCTCCCACAGAGTCCAAAAGACTGTTCTTTACATCTGTGTCTCTTTAGCTGTCTCGCATATAGGGCCATCATTGCCATCTTTGTAAATTCCATATATATGTGTTAGTATACTGTATTGGCGTTTTTCTTTCTGACTTACTTCACTCTGTATAATAGGCTCCAGTTTCATCCACCTCATTAGAACTGATTCAAATGCATTCTNTGTGTTAGTATACTGTATTGGCGTTTTTCTTTCTGACTTACTTCACTCTGTATAATAGGCTCCAGTTTCATCCACCTCATTAGAACTGATTCAAATGCATTCTCTTTAATGGCTGAGTAATATTCCATTGTGTATATGTACCACAGCTTTCTTATCCATTCGTCTGCCGATGGACATTTAGGTTGCTTCCATGTCCTGGCTATTGTAAATAGTACTGTGATGAACACTGGGGTACATGTGTCTCTTTCAATTCTGGTTTCCTCGGTCACACATATATTTACATATATATTTATTACACACATCCATACACACACAAAGTTTTATTCTGTTTTTCTGTGGTTAAGTACAGTAGGCCATCTGTCCATTTTTTTCAAGGGGACGTTCTTCCTGGAGCAGTCTGTCCTCCAGTTTTAACAGTCAGCTTAAGAGAATTCCCTTCTCTTTTCTTCTGTGCTATTTCTTGCATTCTTTGTCTCCCTTTTTCTTGGCTTACTTTATCTTTTTGGAAGACAACATTCTATAAAAGCTTCCTGAGAAAAGGTAGGTGAGAAGTAAAGATTTTGAGTTCTTCTGTATCTTTCCACTTTATCAGCTTGTTTTTAGCATGGTGCCTAACTTCTGATTATGGCTATATGAAGGATCCCATCATTAAAAGTAATATATATTTCTGTTTTTTTCCATTCTTTGATTATAAGTGACCCTCAGAACATTCCTTTGCTCTCTAAACTATTGATTAGACCATATGATAGGTCCCTTCACCACCTTAATTTTATCAATAAACACTTTGCTTCCCTTATTGTCTTATTCTTAGACAGTTCTTTATCCCAGGCTTATACCTCCTCCATCTTTTTCTCCCTAAGAAACTGAAAGCTGATCTCTAGGGACTGTGTGTGTGTGTCTGTGTGTATGTATGTTTGCAACTCCTTTCTTCTTGTTTGTTTATTTTTGACTGAGCTGGGTCATGTTGCTGCATGCAGATTTTCTCTAGTTGCGGCAAGTGGGGGCTGTTCTGGTTTCTCATCCCAGTGGCTTCTCTTGTTGCAGAGCACAGACTCTAGAGTGTGCAGGCTCAGTAGTTACCACTTGTAGCTTAGTTGCCTCGTGTCATGTGGGAGCTTTGTTCCCTGACCAGGGGTCTGACCTGTATCCCCTGCTGTGGCAGGCGGATTCTTAACCCACTGGACCACCTGGGAAGTCCCAACACCATGCTTTTTTTTTTTTTTTTTTNCCATGCATATTTTATCAAAGAAAAAGTGAAGCTTAGCAAGGTTATTTGGTGAAGATCTGAAATTTAAATGCAGGCCTACACTGTTTCCACTGCTATATAATTTAAAGCACCATTAATTGTTAGAGGCACCATTATTGTATATACCATGAGAAAAAGAAATTCTGCCAGTTAAATAAAGCACACCATCAGTTGTAAGATACATAGCAATTTCAGAGATTTTAAAAAGCTAAATAAAAGTGTGTTATCTTGAGATCAATGAAATTTGTTTTTTTATGCTGCATCATAAATAAATTGTTTTTGGAGTTGGTGATTTCAAAACATCTATGGAATATCCAACTAAAACATTTGAAAGTGAAGTCTGTCAGTCGTGTCCAACTTGTAGCGACCCCATGGACTGCAGCCTAACAGGCTCCTCCATCCATGGGATTTTCCAGGCAAGAGTACTGAAGATGGAAAGCTAGAGATAACAGAGGTGAAGGTCCTCTGTGTGTCAGAATCATAATGCAGAAGCAGGCTGGCTAACTGTTTATTTTTTAGTTTTAACAGTCTCTCTGAGTTTATTAATATTATTTATGCCATCTCTTTTAGTCTATTCTTTGCCTATCTCTCTGTGATGGTGTCTGTTGGTAAACCTTAATATTGCCTTTTATTATTCAGGAGCACTTTTTACCCTCCCCCTTAAATTTCCGAAAGCAATGGTCATTTTCTTTTTCTCTTCTGTTTACAAACCGTGTGGTCTGCCAGCATGTAGTTTCCACAAGGGTGCAATAGGAAGTATACTTTTAAGTCTGGGTAGTGAAAAGCAGGTCTCCAGGGGAGATAGATGATGTGAAGAAATCTCATCTATAGACTTTGGTGATTTCCCTGTTTTACAGATCCAGCATGTCTGGCTTGCACCTAGTCAAGCAAGGTCGAGACCGGAAGAAAATGGACTCACAGCGAGATTTCACTGTGGCCTCTCCAGCGGAATTTGTTACTCGTTTTGGTGGGAATAAAGTGATTGAGAAGGTAAGTTACAACCTGCTCAGTTATTTTTTCAAAAGCCCATGAGATTTAATGCCTCGATTTGTCGTCTGCTGCTGTTGCTGCTAAGTCACTTCAGTCGTGTCCGACTCTGTGCAACCCCGTAGATGGCAGCCCACCAGGTTCCCCCATCCCTGGGATTCTCCAGGCAAGTACACTGGAGTGGGTTGCCATTTCCTTCTTCAATGCATGAAAGTGAAAAGTGAAAGTGAAGTCACTCAGTCGTGTTTGACTCTTAGCGACCCCATGGACTGCAGCCCACCAGGCTCCTTTGCCCATGGGATTTTCCAGGCAAGAGTACTGGAGTGGGTTGCCATCGCCTTCTCCATGATTTGTAGTCTAGATTTGCTTAAAACTGACATGTGGATTGAATTTCTGAGACTGTGTAGAATTATCCTTTCTGCCTCCCTAGCTTTCTTAAATAATTAAATGATTAAATAACTTCACTANTATTCCCCATCCCGGTCCCCCCTCCCACCTCCCTCTCCACCCGATCCCTCTGGGTCTTCCCAGTGCACCAGGCCCGAGCACTTGTCTCATGCACCCAACGTGGGCTGGTGATCTGTTTCACCCTAGATAATATACATGTTTCAATGCTGTTCTCTTGAAACATCCCACCCTCGCCTCCTCCCAAAGTACCCTTTTTCTTGTGACTATTCTTTCCGGGGCAATTTCTCTACAGTTCTAAGGCATTTGGAGTCAGCATTTTGGAGAGAGGTGTAGGGGTTCTTATACATGTTCAGGGCAGTGTGCCTTATTTCATTTCAACAGAGAATAGTGCATGACACTACACTGTTAAAAACTTCGCCCAGCTTTGTTTGATATCCATCTTCCCCCTAAAGTTTGTTTCTTCTCTTCGCTAATAATAGGAATGGTAGAATAATTCACAGACTCACAAGATTTTTTTTTAAGTAGTCTTCTTTATTTTTTCAAACCTTTTGTTTTGTGTTGGGGTGTAGCCAATTAACCGTGTTCTGACAGTTTCAGGTGAACAGGGAAGGGACTCAGCCATGCTTATACACGTATCCACTCTCCCCCAAGCTCCGCTTCCTTACAGGCTGCCACAGAACACTGAGCAGAGGCCCCTGTGCTGTGCGGCAGGTCCTTGTTGATTATCCATTTAAAATACGGCAGTGTGTCCATGTCCATCCCAAATTCCCCAACTATCTCTTCCCCCCTAGCAACCATAAGCTTGTTCTCTAAGTGTGTGAGTCTCTTTCAACTTAGAAGATTTGAGTAACTGATTTTTCCCTTCAGGAAATGAACTAAGAAAGGAGTAAGTTTTAGCTGGCACATACTTTGGACTTTCCAGGTGACTCAGTGGTAAAGAATCCACTGCAGTGCAGGAGAGACAGGTTTGATCCCTGGATCAGGATGATCACCTGGAGAAGGAAATGGCAACTCACCCCAATATTTCTTGCCTGGGACATGGAGGCTTGTGGGCTACAGTCCATGGGGTTGTAAGAGTCGTATACAACTTAGCAACTAAACAACAACAACAGCATTGAAGTATTTGCTTTGCTAACATCTTACAATATCCCTTGACCATGCAGGAGTTGGTTCTTAATTGCCTAGACCAGCAATACAGATTCCTAATTGAAACTCTGGCTTTTCAGAGAAAGATTTACAAAAATGTTTTTCTTGTGTTTTCCTCCATCTTTGCCTGCCTTTTCTACTTTTCTTTGCAATTCCCATCCCCCAACTCTGCCAGGTTCTCATTGCCAACAATGGCATTGCAGCTGTGAAATGCATGAGGTCCATCCGCCGGTGGTCTTATGAGATGTTTCGCAATGAACGTGCAATCCGATTTGTTGTCATGGTCACACCTGAAGACCTGAAAGCCAATGCAGGTAAGTTATTAAACATTAAGAAAGCATCATCCTCAAATGTAAAACAATGAATGGCACAACCTTTAACGAAGAGGATGTTAACTTGGGGGATTCCCAAACCCAAGAACTTGTCTTTTAAAAAGTATCAATAATAGGCACAGACCAGGATTATACTCTACATAGCCTCAACATAAACTCCTCTTTCTAAGTAAAAATAGGTGTTAATTTAACCAACGTGTTGATTTGGGTTTTCAGTGTTATTTACTAGGTCACATTCTTATAGCATGTTTAAGTAGAAAGGCTTGGAAGGAAGTACCATTTCCCTTATGAACTACATTGAATTTTAGAGAATTTTAGTATTAAGATTCTTTTTCCCCCTCCTCCTGGGTATAGAGGCCTCTTAGGACCCAAGTCAGTTTTACTCTGTAGGTTCTTCTGCATATTCTCTCTGCTTAGATGACCCTCCATCTGAGAGTGGTAGGTTATTGTAGGCTGTTGGTAGAGTTGAAAGATTGTAGCTAGTACTTCTGCTTCATACTTTAAAAAAAAAATAATTTCATTTATGTATTTATTTTTGGCTGCACTGGGTCGTTTCATTGCTGCATGGGCTTTTCTTTAGTTGGGGCAAGCGGGGGCTACTCTGTAGCTGTGGTGTGTGGGCTTCTCATTGCAATGGCTTCTCTTGCTGTACAGCGTGGGCTCTAGGGTGTGTAGGCTCCCTCGCTGTAGTTCTCGGTCTCTAGAGTACACAGATTTAGTGGCGCATGGACTTAGTCACTCTGTGTCATGTGGTATCTTCCTGAACCAGGCATCAAACCTGTGTCTTTAAAGAGTTGTCTTTTAAAACTCATTTTGGTCTTTATATGTACTCTCTGTATTGAGACAATGATATTAAGACTATTCCTAAGCAGTAAGGGTTATTATATTATCTTTAGAAAAAGAGAAGGCACCAGTTGATTGGAAAGCAGATGTTATTCATTCATTTATATTGATCCTTCAGCATCTTTGAGCTGCAGTCTTGTATCTGTACAAGGAAAGTCGTGTCTGTTTCACTGGCTAGTTGTAAAGAAGAAATTGTCTATAATAAATGTAGGCTACCTTGCATGATTTCTTTTTCCTTATTTCTATTTGGTGCTCCTATTAATTCATCTATTCATTCACTCAGTGAGCATGGAGACCCACAGTTTAATAAGCTGTGATCTTGCTCTAGGAAATGAATAATTTCAATACAATGAGGTAAGTGCTGTAATAGGAATATGTACAGGGTGCTATGAGAACACAGAGATGAGACATCTTAACTCTGGTCCTGGCTCTTGGGTTAAGAGTTAAGAGGAGTTAACAGAGGTAAGAGAGCTTTCTGGAGGTACTTATGTCTCCCCGAGAATGAGTAAGAGTTAGTGAAGCAGTTAGGGGGAAGACAAGGGTGTTACAGGCAGAAAGAACATATATGCAAATATTTGAAGGTGTGACACAGGGGTTATCTGGAAACTGCAGATGACTTGTTAAAGTACAAGACATGATCTAGTATTTGTCAAGGATGGTCTTGTTTTTTATTCTTAAAAGCATGAACTTTATCTTTTTAGCTATGTGTGTGTGTGTCTCTGTGTCTGCATGTATATCGGACATTAAAGATTTGCATTTTAATTGAAGTGGTTGTTTTTCACAATTCAAATGTGGAAGAGCATAATGAACTCCTTCCCATCTATCTGTTACCCAAAATCAACTTCTTTCAGCTATATTTAAACCTCCTCTCTCCTCCAAGCATAATTTCTAAAGCAAATATTTATTGCATCTGTAAATATTTCAATGTGTATCTTATCTAAAATTTAGATAGCTTTAACATATATGTGTAAATAATTGGATGATTCAGGTAGCAACTTGAAAGATCTGTTTGTGGCAGGTAATACTGGAGGATGTGATAACTGGCAAGATTTTAAACTCTCAGTTTGGCTTCATGTGATGTGTGGGTTTTAATTCTTGAATCTTGGCTGAACTCCTTACACTTAACCTGTTGGCCTCAAAAATATTGGGCAATTGCACCTCATTCCTATAGTAATTGGTTACATACTCTTATTTGGAACAAGCATGATGAGCACCTCTCCACTCAGCTCCATTCATACAATCGCAGATAACTGTGCCAAAAACCAACAGCAGAAGGAATATGAAGAGGCCATCCCAGCATAAAGAGATATTCCTATTAGTTGAAGTAAACCAAATGTTCTCTCTTGCAACCAAACCATTTTCCACTAAAAACTGAATTGTATGTAAACAACTAATGTCAAACATCCACTATAAATTTTTGACATAAAATTTCCACCATCATAATTTTAATATCCAGTACTGAAATGTAAAATAATAATGTAAGTTGGACTTCTCTTAGATTAAGTTCTATTAATATTTTAAATATTATCAAATAGTAGTTACTAGTGGACAGAATAAATAAAATACTGGATTACCATATGGTAAGTATCTCTCCAAAAAAAAGTAGCAGTGGACATTTATTATCTCACAGTTTCTATAGCTGGGTCTGTGACTTGAGGTTGTCACTAGGCTGGCGTCAGTATTCGCGTGGGGCTGCCGTCTCATCTGAGGCTCAGCTTGGGATGGATCTGCGTTCACGCTAACATGGTTGGTTGTTGGCAGCACTCAGTTTTCTGTGGGCTGTCGGACTGAGGGCCTGAATGTGTCGCTGGTTGTTGCCTAGAGACTGCTCTTGGCTCCTTGCCATGTGGGCCATCCCCAAAGGACTTCCTGCTTCCTCCAAGTCAGCAAGGAAAAGTCTCCCAGTGAGATGGGCTCCATTCTTTTTCAAAGTATTGTATTCATTTATTTTTATCTTTGGCTGTGCTGGGTCTTCGTTGCTGTGTAGCCTTTTCTCTACTCGCTCCTGCGGTGCAGTCTTCTCACTGTGTGGCTCCCGTTGCAGGGCACAGGCTCTGGAGCTCGTGGGCCTCAGTAGTTGCAATTCCCAGCCTTTAGAGCACAAGCTTAATTCGAGGCACACAGGCTTAGTTGCTCTGCAGCTTGTGGGATCTTTTCAAGGGACACGGGTTCCTTCCCTGGTCTGGGATGATCCCGTGTGCCGTGGAGCAGCTAAGCCCGTGCTCTGCAGCTGCTGAGCCAGGGAGCCTCAGCTACTGAAGCCCGCACGCCTGGAACCTTCGCTCTGCAGCGAAAGAAGCCACCTCAGTGAGAAGCCTACACACTGCAGTGAAGAGTCACCCCGGTGCCTGTGACTGTGGAAAGCCCACGGGCAGCAATAGAGCCCTATCACAGCAATCAACCACCCCCCAAAAAAATCTGTTTAAAAAATAGGGTGGAGATGGACCTTGAGCAAATTATTTAACTGCTCCAAGACATAATTCCCTTTAAACTGGATGCTCATAATACCTATTATAGAAAGGATTATGGAGTGTTAAATGAAGTAATGTATATAAAGAGCTTAATACAGTCTTTACATTGCAGCTGCTCTGCCACAATTACTGCCAGAAAAGGAAGAAACATCAGGTGACAGATTTGAAAGGGGATACTGTGCCCCCTCAAAAAAAATAAGGAAGGAAAGAAGTTAGCTTTTTAAGTATCTTTCATATATGTAGTATCCTCAACATTTCAGGTAAACAAATGTTTTTCAAGCACTTGACAGACTCCTATAACTCACCTTTCCTGTTTAGCAAGTCTGCAAACCCTCCAGTCTCTCCTCGGTTTCCTCATTTTGTCCCGGCTTTATACCAGGAAAGGGGCCTTCTCAGAATATTGTGCAAGTTAAAGATGAAAGGTGTCATAGAACTTTTTCTCCAAGTAGAATAATGGGCCTCTTAGTGACATATCGTCCTTAATATAGAGGTCATGATGACTCTTCAAAAAGCTCACACAGTGAAATGTTTGAGAACTGCTGCTTAGTGTCAGAGCTTCCTCACTATGAGATTATCACATTTTAGTGCCTGTGACTTAACAAAGAGCCTCCAAATGAATGGCTCTGAAAGTTATCCCACGAATGTAGTTTGTCCCATGATTACATATGATGGTACCTGTCTTTTGTGTAGTTTTTTCTCTGCTGTTACATTTCTGAAAATAAATTTAATTATTGTTAATGTGCTTGTGTTTCCAGAATACATCAAGATGGCAGATCACTATGTGCCCGTGCCAGGAGGCCCCAACAACAACAACTATGCAAATGTGGAGTTAATTCTTGACATTGCTAAAAGGATCCCAGTACAAGTAAGACTTGCCAGCATCTCCTTGAAAACCAAATTCAGCCTTTAAAAAAATTTTTTTTTTTATTGGAGTATGTTTGATTTAAAATGTTATGTTTCTGTACAGCAAAGTGAATCAGTTATCCATAGACATATATCCACTATTATTTTTATGTTTTGGAGAATAAAACATATTCTCAGTTTTATGTCAGTTGCTTCATTTGCAAATATTTTCTCCCATTCTGAAAATTGTCCTTCACCTTGCTTATGGTTTCCTTTGCTGTGCAGAAGCTTTTATGTTTGATTATGTCCCATTTGTTAATTTTTGTTTCTATTTTCATTATCCTAGGAGGTGGATCAAAAAAGATCCTGCTGCGATTTATGTCAAAGAGTGTTGTATGTTTTTCTCTAAGAGTTTTATAGTGTCTGGCCTTTTGTTCAGGTCTTCCACTGTTTTTTAGATTCTTTCCCCATATAGGTTATTATAGATTATTGAGAAGCGTTCCCTGTGCCAAATTCAACCATTTTACAATTAGGCACAAGGGGATAGCCAGTGAAGAAATTTTAATTTTATATAAAGCACCTTTTCTGAACCTTGATAAGAGCCTTTATATGGGATATACAGAGAGGGAAAAGAAAGATGAGAAGAGTGGAATGAGTCACCATAAAGTAAACATAATCTAAACAAGAGGTTTATAAGGGTCTTTCAGAGATTATTCTGTCCATTTCACCTTCAGACCTCCCAGTAAGTGAAGGTTACCTATTTCCAATGAAATACTCTTAGTCCAGAATACTGTAGTGTAGAAGGAGGTTTTTTATTCTCTATCACATTGTTATAGAGAGTTTAGGGTAAGTGTCTTAAAGCCCAAAGAGGAAAAAAACTTGAGATTTGTATGGCAGTATAACCACTAGATGTAAAGGTGGAGTTGGGTGGCCAAAGTAATGCAGTCTACAAAAGAAAACCAGCATTTCTAGAAGAGGCTCTGTAGTGTAGTTGAAAGGCTATGAACTGACTTTGCTGAAGATTAACAGTACCAGCTGGATCTTAATATCAGTTTCAGCTTGTTTTTGCTATCTTCAGAGGTTTTACCACAGTCGACTGCTTATTGTTGTTCTATAAAAAGTTGGCCAAGAATCAGGCATAAAAACTGAATTAAGCATTAGGCTGCTGTGGCACTATTGTACCTCATGAAGTACAGCCAGTCTTGGTTAGAAAGGAATACAGTTGAATCGTGTTCTTTTTACTATGAATTTTAAGAATGAATCATATTGTGTTCCCTTGTAGGCAGTTTGGGCTGGCTGGGGTCATGCTTCTGAGAATCCCAAGCTCCCAGAACTTCTTTTGAAAAATGGCATTGCCTTCATGGGTAAGCCTTTCTGACGTACTGTTCCTGTTTTTCTGTTTCTCTCTGTCATTTTGGTCCACATTTCCCCTCTCTATTTTGCTTTTCTTCTGTTTAACACGTACTAGGCTTTTATTTTTCATCACGTACTGGGCTTTTATTTTCATCAATCCGTAACTCTGAGAGTAACCTTCTTCTTCATTTTCTTTTTCTCCTACCATTATCACTTCTTACATTTTGTATCTTGATTGTGTTTTCTGTCCCTGGGTTCTTTTCTATGAGATATGGAGGAGGCTCTGCTATCCAGAACACTGGCCTTTAAAAACTTTGTCATTAACCTTAAGAAAACATGTGGAGAAAGGACCTATTTTTATGTGGAAAAGATGATTGAATACTTAGAATACCCTGGCAGTGTGCCCTTAAATATGAATCAATACCTTCACATTTAAGCATATAGGTTATATTCCTGTAAGTGAGGGTTATTTCTTCTGACTTCTCTGCTCTCTTATAGAGAGAGAAAAATCAAGGTTATATGGCGGTAAGTGTTTCTGTCTTTGTCTCAATGATGATTATGCTTTGTAAAACCTATTAATGATAAATCTTCCTTTTGGGTTTCCCTAAGTCCAAGGAGAGTATACCAATTTAGACTTGAACCCCAAAACTTTATTGTCCTTATTTCAGGATAATCATTAAAAAAAGAGAAGACTTTGTTAATCTGGTAGAGTTAGATCATGAAGGATGATTTGTCAGTGATTTAATTCAGCGTATATTTACATATATTGAATTCTCTGTGTGTGAAAATTTGCTACATTAGGTTCTGTAAAGGCTACAAAGATGAGCCAAAACATAGCAGTCCCCGTAATCAAGTTTCTGATGTGGATGATATGCGATGTGGCGATACAAGACAAATACAAAAACAATTACATGAAAGACAAAATACTTGGGAAAGAAATGAGGCCAAAATGTTACAGTCGGGATTCTTTTCTTATTTTGTTTTTAGGTCCTCCAAGCCAAGCCATGTGGGCTTTGGGGGATAAGATTGCATCTTCCATAGTGGCTCAAACTGCTGGTATCCCAACTCTTCCATGGAGTGGCAGTGGTAAGAAATTTTATTTCTTGTTTGTATCTTAAAGTGCAGAAAAGCTCAGTAGGGTATTTGGGACTGTGGCTGGGGGCTTAAGCCTGCTTTAAAATGTATTAAATATTTGACAAGAAATAGAATTCAAGTTGATTGATTGGTAGCTTGTGTCTCCTGGCTTAATTGCTGTATCTGTGATTCTATCATGTCTTAAGCATATGTGTGTTGTCAGACCCGAGAGCCTCTTCCATCTTTGTCAAGGAGAGTGCTAACCTTCGCTCCTTTCATATAACATTCTATCATGTCTTAAGAATGTAAATTTTATACTAGGTACAGAGATGCTAAACGGTAATGTAAATGATCTTGGGACTTAATTTGGAAAAACTCTGAGAAAACTCATCTGGTTCTGTGGATTCAGATCTATGCTAGGATAGATCTTCCTAGGCTAGGATCTTCCTCAAGAGATGGTCTTCTTAGATGGAATAGGCCTTTGAACCTGCCTGGGAGATGACTGAAATCACTAAGAAAAAGCCAAAACCCACTTACTCAGATATTTGCCTGCCAGTATTTTCTTTCTTTCTTTTTGTTTATTCACTCTTTATATTTTGAAAATTTTTATATTGGCATATAGTTGATTAACAATGTTGTGTTAGTTTCAGGTGTACAACAAAGTGATTCAGTTAAATGGATCCATGTATGTATTCTTTTTGGCCAGTATTTTCTTAATGTGAGCCCATAATCTGTTGACAGTCAATGATCAACCTTTCTTCCAAGCATTCAGAAGCCTGAATTTTTTTCTAAAAATGATTTATTCTTGACAGATCCCTTAAAGAGTGCCGTGTGGATTACTAGAGCTGACAGTATTATGAACTTCTGTTTCTCTGTCCTCAAGCATAGGGAGCAGACGCACACTAAAACCTCTTACAGATGGGAACTACTGTTGTCTTGAGTCTGAGCAGATTTGAACTCTTGTTACTCTGGCTCTCCAGGGGGATTGCAATATCCTTTCCAGACCTGCTGGGTCAAACAGTTTAAAATAAAAGGTTGAGTTTGTTCTTGTTTGAATGGAGAGGCTGTACCATTCCCCTTGTGGCTGAGTACAGGGACAGTCAGGAAGCTTGGAGTTGTGACTCTGCTGAGGCCAATAAAACCGCCATTTCCATTTCCAAGGGCTCATAAAGATTGAATTATTTCTCAGACCTCTGGCCCTGGAGCAGGCCTGAACACACAAATCGAAGATACTTTGCTTGCTGAGTTTCTGTGAGAAGTCTGGCCTGCTTTTTTTGTCTGTCTTGTATGCAGGTCCTTGTGTTTTTGTTTTTTGTTTTTTTTTAAGTTGCTGCCTATTATCTCTCTTGACTTTTTCCAGCATCAGAACCCAAGCGGCCAGATCTTGATATTAGGTAAATCCTGCTAACTCCAAGGACTGATCAGGGTTTTATGGTATTCTTTCTCACATCTACCCTCAAGTTTGAATAAATATGAAAACATTTTAAAGAAGAAAATCGACAAAAACAGAAATTCTTGTAGCTGCTTTTAAGTCACTGTTATCTATTGTAGGTCTTTGTGTGGACTGGCACGAAAATGATTTTTCAAAACGAATTTTAAACGTTCCTCAGGAACTATATGAAAAAGGTTATGTGAAGGATGTGGATGATGGGCTGAAGGTAGGTTACTAACTCTGGGGCGTGATCATTTTCAACGGACCAGTTATAGTCCTAAATATGGGGATTTGGAGCCTGGTTTATGATGTATACCCATGATAGTGTTAGGGTTGTAAGACCAGGAGATGTAGTTAATGTAATAGAATGAGGAAGTGACCTACGTTTCACAAAAACAATTTAAATTTGCTTTGAAGCAAGCCACTCACCTGGACAGAACACTTCTTAGGTGGTTAAATCATAGCTTTAAGGAGGTCCTGATTCTTTCTCCACCACCTCTGTGTTTGTGTGTGTGTGTGTGTGTGTGTGTGTGTGTGTTTAGGGGGGTGGTGGAATTAGGGGCAAACCACTTTTTGCCCCGCTTGAGTTCAGAACCAAGAACCCTGGCAGACAGATCAAAATGTCAGCTTTAATACGAACAGAGATGGTGATGAATATCTCTTAGCTGTGCAGCAACAGTCAGATTCGTAAAGTGAACGTCAGTTAAGCAGGCTCGCTCACTGGTTACTGGCAGTGTGAGTAATCACAGAGACGGCTTTTGCCATTGGGTTTATTGTATGACTGAGAGCTGAGAAAGAACATGTGTTCTATGTAGTGGGCTGATCTCAAAGGGAAAAAGGCTGAGCTATATACTCTCAGCTTCTCCTTCTGAACTGACAGATCAGAGTTCATTCTTTTTCCTTTGGAGAGGAGTGAGGGAGGGAGCTGATAGAGGCTGAAACAGTTCTTCTAATTATTGTCTGTCCATGTAGAAACATGCACCGAAGCAAAAAGAGATCTTTTCTTCAACATTATTTTTTCTTTTCTTCACAGTCCCCTCCAGTTATTTCTCCTTTCACTTTTTAACTAGTTGGAAGAGTCAGTTATGCCACCAGGGAGATGATCAAAGAGCTATATTTTAGAAAAGCACACTCCTCATGTTTGACTCATCTGTAATAAATTCAAGAGGAACACTGAATGTTCAACTGATTTTGCTCTGTTGCTTGCATTTCAAACCTCCTGTAACCTCCTTAAAAGGAAGAATTAATATTTCTAATTGAAGTGCTGCTGTATATTCTGTTTGCTATAATTTGCAAAAGAGTAGAAACCCTTTGTAGGGTATTAACTATATTGCTTATCAGTTAAAATTCCTTTTTTTCCTGGTTATAATTATAAACATAAAATTTTTGCCAGTCTTTTTTGGTTCATAGATTCATTTAATGACAGTCTTTATTAATAGGTTCCCATAACTATAACTATTATGATAATTATAAAAGTATGGTCTTACTGTATGTATTATTTTTATAATCCAAGATTTCTTCTTCCTATATATAAGAATTTTCCTCATGGCAGTAAAATTTTTCTAAGATACTTTAAATGGATGACCTGTGTCTAGAACTTAGGTATGTATTTTAAAGGCCTGCCTTGTTCTTATATCATGTGGGCCATCCTGTTTTTCAGTCTTTCCCACATTTGTGCCTGCTTCTTCAATCATTTATCACCCAGTAACTGAGTTCATGCTGATTTTGCTTGTAAGCATAGAAGTTAAGAGAATTTAGAAGAAATGGGACTATGACTGAAGGATTTTCATGCCTAAAACTACTGACAAAAATTAAAATTTGAAATGGTCTTTTTCTGGTGACACATTTTTTAGATGTTTTTATAATGTAAACTGTAAAAGACTGGAATGTTTCAACAAAGGAATGACTCAGTTATTTTAACTTATGGTTAATTTTTCCCCAATCTGCTTTTTGCCTTAGCTACAATATAGATATCTTCCATATTATTACATGTAAAGCCTACCTCAGACCTTTTAATAATAGCATAGCAGTCTAATAAATAGGTATATCTTGACTTAATTGGCTCCTTACTTAATGGGTATATAATTAAATATTCAAAAAGTTTTGGAATCATCATCCTATAAAATACTGTAAATATGACAAGCACATTTAAAGCATTTGTTTAAAATTAGTTTTCTGACTATTAATGTTTTGGTATCTTATTATTTTTATCTTTTATAAAAAGTTGAGTGAGAAAAAATTTCTCGATATATGAGAATCCTGATTTGTTGAGTCTTCTATGTTGTCAGAAGATCAGAAGCTGTGCTGAGGTGGTCAGCTTATATTAAGTGAACTGCCTGTGGTTTTTTTGTCTTTTTTAAAAATAAAAGTTATGGAACAAAGAAAATGTACACTTTGGTAAATTTTTAAGAAATAAAAGAAAAATTATGGGTAATGCACAAATTCTTGCATATTATAAGAAATTCTAACAATACAGTAATATATACAGTAAAAAGTGAAAGTTTATATCTGCTCATCTTCCCTGTATAAATCACCAGTGGTGGATAGTCTAGACTTGTTTTTTGTACTTACATATTTAAGTGTGTGAATGTATACATAATTATATATATATACACATATATACACATATATATATGTATATAGTTTTACTTTGTTTTTGACCTATATGGGATTATTTTAGATTGAACCATACAAAATTGCCAATATAGAACCATTTTTTACCTACCAAAAAATGCAGTTTCTTTTGGAACTTTTCTGGCGGTCCAGTGGTTAAGAATCTGCCTTGCAATGCAGGGGACTTCGTTTTGATCCCTGGTCAGGGAACTAAGGGCCCGCGTGCCACAGAGCAGCTGACCCCACACCCCACAGCCAGAGAGTCCGTAGGCCACAGTGACAGACCCCATGGGCCACATCTGAGACCCATCGCTGCTGAATAAATGAAAAAGTATTTTTTTAAAAAAGACAAACACAGTTTCTTTTGGATCAACCCAGTACTACAAATACTATTCTGGCACTTTTTTTCTCATCTAATACCATTTCTTCAGGATCTTTCTATTTTACTGTATATATTAATAGACCTACCAGATGACAGCATTTTTTTAAAGGGAAAAAATGCCAGTTTTCTCCTTCTCTACTAGTATCATTCTCACTTCAGTTTTTCTCTTTCTTCTTGAAGGCAGCAGAGGAAGTTGGATATCCAGTAATGATCAAGGCCTCAGAAGGAGGAGGAGGGAAGGGAATCAGAAAAGTCAACAATGCAGATGATTTCCCTAACCTCTTCAGACAGGTGGAGTACAAGTTGTCATTCTTTATTTGAACTAATATATGTATCAGAGATATGTGATTTAATTCACACTATAATTTGGGTGTCTAGAAAATATTTAAACTTTTTGTCTGTAACTAATCGAATCATTCCCTTTAGCCTCTCCCTACTTAGTAGCAGGGGGAAAAAATATCAGTGAAATGTCCAATTCAATCTAAGGTTTTATTCATTTAGCTAATTCAAGCAGTAATTATTCTCTCTTATATAAAACTGCTCAGTTTCTCAGATAGCTCTTCCCTATATGATTTGTGTGGCTCATAGGCCTTCCGAGTAACAAGGAAGACTCAGTACCTTCCTATGTTTTTGTGCCCCGCTTGTGCTGACATTTTAGATAAAGTATGTGGGATGGTTAATTCCTGATCTGGATGCTCTTGGCTTGTCCTCACTCAGGCTCTCTGAAATTAAGTAATGCTGAAAATTCTCCAAGCTAGATTTCAACAGTACATAAACTAAGAACTTCCAGATGTTCAAGCTGGATTTAGAAAAGGCAGAGGAACCAGAAGTCAAATTGCCAACATCCACTGGATCATAGAAAAAGCAAGAGAGTTCCAGAAAACATCTACTTCTGCTTCATTGACTATACCAAAGCTTTTGACTGTGTGGATCACAACAAACTGGAAAATTCTTCAAGAGATGGGAATACCAGGCCACCTCACCTGCCTCCTCAGAATCTGTATGCAGGTCAAGAAGCAACAGTTAGAACCAGACATGGAACAACGGACTGCTTCCAAATTGGGAAAGGAATACATCAAGGCTATATATTGTCAGCTTGCTTATTTAACTTATATGCAGAGTACATCTTGTGAAATGCTGGGCTGGATGATGCACAAGCTGGAATCAAGATTTCAGGGAGAAATATCAACCTCAGATATGCAGATAACACCACCCTTATTGCAAAAAGTGAAAGGTATAAAGAGCCTCTTGAAGGTGAAAGAGTGAGTGAAAAAGCTGGCTTAAAACTCCACATTCAAAAAACTAAGATCATGGCATCTGGTCCCATCACTTTATGGCAAATAGATGGGGAAACAGTGGAAACAGTGACAGACTTTATTTTCTTGGGCTCCAAAATCACTGCAGATGGTGATTGCAGCCATGAAATTAAAAGACGCTTGCTCCTTGGAAGAAAAGCTATGACCAACCTAGACAGCATATTAAAAAGCAGAGACATTACTTTACCAACAAAGGTCTGTCTGGTCAAAGCTATGTTTTTTCCAGTAGTCATGTATGGATGTGAGATTTGAGACCATAAAGAAAGCTGAGTGCCGAAGAATTGATGCTTTTGAACTGTGGTGTTGGAGAAGACTCTTTAGAATCCCTTGGACAGCAAGAAGATCAAACCAGTCAATTGTAAAGGAAATCAGTCCTGAGTATTCTTGGAAGGATTGATGCTGAAACTCCAATACTTTGGCCACCTATGCAAAGAACTGACTCATTAGAAAAGACCCTGATGCTAGGAAAGATTGAGGACAGGAGGAGATGGGGGTGACAGAAGATGAGATGGTTGGATGGCATCACCGGCTTAACAGACATGAGTTTGAGTAAGCTCCGGGAGTTGGTGATGGACCGGGAAGCCTGGTGTGCTACAGTCCGTGGGGTCGCAAAGAGTTGGACAGGACTGAGCAACTGAACTGAACTGAAAATTAAGTCAATAGAGGGGTTTAATGACATCTTAGATGCAATTGAAGAAAGAATTAGTAACTGGAAGACAAGTCAGAAGAAAGCTCAGACTGAAGCATGAAGAGACAAAAAGGATGAAAAATACAGATAAGAGCTTGTGAGAGATTATTTGCAAAGATGACCATGATAACTCTTCTCATCCCTATATACACTTCCTTTGTAGTAAGATTTCGCCTTCTTCCCGTAAAGAAATAGTGACTTTTATTCCTTCCACCCTTTGAATTTTGGTTGACTTTGTGACTTGTGTTGACCAATAGAATACAGTAGAAATAGTGACTAGTTTCAAAACCAAAGCTGCAAGTGGTTTCTGGTTTCTGCCCTTGGCCTTTTGGAATGAGCCTCCAGGCTCGCCTTGTGAAGAGCATAGTCTAGGCTTCTGGAAAAAGAGAGGCCACAGAAAGCAGAGATGAATTGTCTCATCTGAGGCTTCCTAGACCTGACAGTTTGATCTACACCTTGGAGACATGTACATGAGTTCATATTAAACCATCCAAGCCTAGTTAAGTTGCTAGGTGGCTAACTCCCTGAGTGGCTCCAAGTCAAGATCAGCAGAGGAACTGCCCAACTGAGCCCAGCTCAAATTGCTGTAAGCAAGCAAAATGGTTAGTGCCCTAAGTCACTGAAATTTTGGTGGTTTGGTAGGCATCAATGGATAGCCGACCTAGAAACTGAAACCTGATGGTCTAATGCTGCCCTGGCAAAAAAAGTAAATTATGTGGCATTTGCTTTGAGACTGGCTCATACGTGAAGGCTGGAAAAGATGGTAAGGAGCTTGGTAATGAAGCCTAGAAGAATGATAAACAAACTTTTAGTGCAGGATGGAACAGAAATGAGGGGAAAGGTCACCCATGTTCTGTAATGATGAAACTGTTACCTGAGACTGTACTGGAAAGTAGAGACTGTATTGAGCTTGTAGATCTACTTAAAGAGATCTTTTTAGATAACGTGTTAAAAGTATCTGTTTGATGCTTATGATTTCATTTTAACTATAAAAAAGAGGTGAACTCAAAAAGGTGTTCCAAACCTGTTGAGTTTAAAAATAGAACTGTTTTTCATTACCGATCTCTCTGACTGGCAAAAAATTTTCAAAGTAAAAAATGACTTCAGAGTAGAGGCCAAATCCAGAGTGCCTGGGAGATCCTTTAAGACCTCAGAAATAATTTAAGAGCTAGAAAAAAAAGGGCTTATAAGAATTTTAAAGATGTTGTCCCACGGGCAGCCTGACATGCCCGAGGTATAGAGACATCTGTGCAGAAAAGCTATGGATATGTTTTGGGGCAAGAGGTGAATTTTCAATATGATTCATATTGAAAAAAAATTCATAAATTTTTCAAGATACTTATATTGATGAATGTACCAAAGGGACTGCAAGGGACAGAGACAGTTCAAACCTTAAAGAGGCCTCAGAACTTTCAATTTTCTATGAATAGGAAGCAGACTGGGAAAGTTGTTCAGCTGTAAGCATTAGTCGTTTCTTGTAGTAAGGGAGATTTTTCAGGACCCAGGAGGGCTGCTAAGAACAGGGGAGAGCCATGGTTTAGAAAACCACTCCCAGGGATCAGAATTGGACCACAGAGAAAAGCAAAACAAATTCCATGCTTGTGGAGTAAGGAAACCTGACAACATCTACCCATCTGGACTTCAGAACTATTGTGGACCAGTGACTGTTAATGTACCTCCTATTGTTTCTTCTTTGAACTGGAGTATTTTCTTATCCCCATCTCATCATTAAATGTTGGAAGTGTTGGGAAAAGATAATTTGTCTTTTTAGTTCCCAGATCTTTGCAAAAATAGGAGGAGCTGCACCCAAGGAGTCTCTTTTGCTTGTGGACATGACTCATGACTCATGGAAAATGGACCTCGGGCCTGATGCCATGATTGGATGACTTTGGGGGTCTTGGGAGGGGGTGAGTCTCTTTTGCATGTGGGAGTTATGTGAATTACTGTGGCCAGAGGGCAGACCATAGTAGCTTGTTTGCAGAGATGGCTGCGATACCTCTTCCTATCCTTGTATGTATATCCCTTGGCAGTGTGACTTTGGCTTTTCTCCCATTAAGAGATGGCATCTCTTTTCCCACCCCAAAAGCAGAGATATGACTTTGCCAACAAAGGTTTGTCTAGTCAAAGCTATGGTTTTTCCAGTAGTCATGTATGGATGTGAGAGTTGGAATATAAAGAAAGCTGAGCGCTGAATAATTGATGCTTTTGAACTGTGGTGTTGGAGAGTCCCTTGAACTGCAAGGAGATCCAACCAGTCAATCCTAAAGGAGATCAGTCCTGAGTATTCATTGGAAGGACTGTTGCTGAAGCTGAAACTCCAATACTTTGGCCACCTGATGTGAAGAACTGACTCATTTGAGAAGACCCTAATGCTGGGAAGGATTGAAGGCAGGAGGAGAAGGGGATGACAGAGGATGAGATGGTTGGATGGTATCACCGACTCAATGGACATGAGTTTGAGCTCCGGAAGTTGGTGGTGGACAGGGAAGCCTGGCGTGCTGCAGTCGTGGGGTCACAAAAAGAGTTGGTCACAACTGAGTAACTGAACTGAACTGAACTGAATCTTAGCTGGCCTTGTGGCTTGCTTAGACCATTAGAATGTGGCCAAAGTGGTATTGTGTAAGTTCTGGAGGCTAGTGCTTGTGAAGCCTTGCAGTTTCTGTCTTCACCAACTTCTTAGAGCGCTGCATTGAAGAAGTCCTGGTTTAGCCTACTGGAGGGTGAGAGGTCACATGCAATAGAAATGAGCTGTTCCAGTTGAGGCTCCATACACCCACCAGCCAACAGCTGACACAAACCATCAGGCATTTGAATGAGACCATTCAGCCCTACTCAAGTCACCAGATGATGATATGCAGATTGAGTGGCCACAGGCACGACCAGACCTGCCTGGATGAGCACAGCATCAAAAGCAAAGAAAATGGTTGGTGTCGTAAGCAAGCCACTGAGTTTTGAGGTGACTTGTTATGTAACAGAACAGAGCATAAGAGATTTGGCACATGAAAGACAGTGAAATCATCTAGCATTACATACCTGGAGTCTCAGGGGAGGAGAGAGAGCAAACAGAGCAGAGGCAGTGTTTGAAGAAATCACGGAGCGGAAGCAGTATTGGAAGCATCATGATTGTCCTTAGTCATGTCTGACTCTTTGTTGACCCTTTGGGCTGTAGCCTATCGTTCTTCTCCGGCCATGGGATTTTTCAGGCAAGAGCACTGGAATGGGTTGCTATTTTCTCCTCCAGGGGCTCTTCCCAATAGAGGGATCAAACCCATGTCTTTGGCATTGCAGGTGGATTCTTTACCTGCTGAGCCACTGGGGAAGAGACAATGGCTAAGAATATTTCTGAACTAGTGAACTAATGGCTCAGAATTTCCTGAAAAGATACCAATCACAGACTCAAAAACCACGATGAGCCCTGCAAGGATAAGTACAGAGAAAACCACATCTAAGCTTATCAGAGTAAATCTGCCACCTCACTCCCCTAAAAAGAGAGAGAAAAAGAAAATCTTAAACCAGCTGCAAAAAACAGGTTACTTTCAAAGGACTGACAGTAAGATTGTTAGCTCTCATCTCAGTAGAAATCAGAAAACATTGGGGTATCTTTAAAGTGCTAAAAGAAAATAATTGCAAGTATAGAATTCTGTATCTAGTGGCAATATGCTTCAAAACAGAAGATGAAAGTTCTTTGACTACAACAGTACTGTATATGATGTAATGTGAACCAGGAAAGTTTTTCATCTGGAGCAAGTTGTACATTTGGCTGTTTGGAATTCATGGTAATACTTTGCCCTTTTGTGGAATTTGTGTGCATGTTTTCATGATATTTTGTCCTTTGCCCTTGTAACATGTGTTTATGTATCCATCAGTTAAGAGTTATGTAATTGAGAATATAGTATCTTAAGACTAGATGAGAGTAGGAACTATATATATATATTTTTTTGTTTTGTTTTGTTTTTTTTTTTTGTATTTCTAACAGGGTCCCTGACACTCCCAGGCATTTATTTGCCTGTTGAAGTGGAAGCAGCTTATCAAAATAGAAAAGTACTTACCTCTTAAGAATTTGTTCTATTTTATTGTCTAATATAGGTTCAAGCTGAAGTTCCTGGATCTCCTATCTTTGTGATGAGACTAGCCAAACAGTCTCGTCATCTGGAGGTGCAGATCTTAGCGGATCAGTATGGCAACGCCATCTCTCTGTTTGGTCGTGATTGCTCTGTGCAGCGCAGGCATCAGAAGATTATTGAAGAAGCTCCTGCTGCTATTGCTACTCCAGCAGTATTTGAACATATGGAGCAGGTATGTGTGTGAAAAGCTCTAAGTTTTGTTTTCTTGCACAGAACTAACACTCATTTAATTCATACGCCCATCTGAGAATAGTGGAATATCAGGAAATTATTCTGGATAATTGATAAGATTGTATCCTTCAAGAGGGAGAGGACATAGGTATATCTATGGCCGATTCATGTTGATGTATGACAGAAATCAACACAATATTGGAAAGAAATTATCATCCAATTAAAAATACACTGTAAAAAGTATCCTTTACCTAGAGGAAAAATAAAAATTCTGCTTTTCTCCCTCTAGTAGAGATGCCAGTGAACACTGCAAACTCTAAATTAGTTAATGCTTTTGACAAAAAATTTCAGTGTACAATTTGAGAAGGGATAAAGAAATATTTTGGAATTTTTAGTCTTATTCTTTGGTTCTTTAACAAGCGCATGATAAGCTGGTTGTTAAGCTGGTAGTTCCATTTTCTAAATTGATTATCCCTCCATCTTCAGATGGATTTATTCAAGTCTGTTATCTCTTAAAAGGTCCTCTAAGAAGCTTTCAAGTTTACATATTCTGTTTTATTACATGAAAAAAAGAATCTCTCAGCAGTTTTATAGGGCCCCTTGGAATTAGCTGTAGTTTAGAAATCTGAACATGGTCTTTTTTGGAACTTAATCTTCTTCTTATTGGAGATACGTTTTCCTTTTTTTTTTTTTCTTCTGGATTCCCAAGAAGCTAAATATATGGTTGTCTGTGCTTTTACATTTCATCTCTACGTGTGTGTGTTTATGTGTGTATTGAGATTATTCTTTAACTACTGTAGTAAAGTGACCTCCAAAATACAATGGCTTAGGGAGTTCCCTGGTGGCTTAGTAGTTAGCGTCCTGGGCTTTCACTGCCGTGGCCAGGTTCAATCCCTGGTTGGCAAATAGAGATCCTGCAAGCCATTCAATGCGGCCAAAGATAAAAAATAACTATAAAAACTACAAAATACACTTCAGTTCAGCTCACTTGTCTCCGACTCTTTGTGACCCCATGAACCACAGCCCGCCAGGCTTCCCTGTCCATCACCAACTCCTGAAGTTTACCCAAACTCATGTCCATTGAGTCGGTGATACGATCCAACCATCTCATCCTCTGTCATCCCCTTCTCCTCCTGCCTTCAGTCTTTCCCAGTATCAGGGTCTTTTCAAATGAGTCAGCTCTTCACATCAGGTGGCCAAAGTATTGGAGTTTCAGCTTCAACATCAGTCCTACCAGTGAACACCCAGGACTGATCTCCTTTAGGATTGACTGGTTGGATCTCCTTGCAGTCCAAGGGACTTCTTCAACACCACAATTCAAAAGCATCAATTCTTTGATGTTAAGCTTTCTTTATAGTCCAATTCTCACATCCATACATGACTGCTGGAAAAACCATAGCCTTGACTAGATGTATCTTTGTTGTCAAAGTAATGTCTCTACTTTTTAATATGCTGTATAGGTTGGTCATAACTTTCCTTCCAAGGAGCAAGCATCTTTTAATTTCATGGCTGCAATCACCATCTGCAGTGATTTTGGAGCCCAGAAAAATGAAGTCAGCCACTGTTTCCACTGTTTCCCATCTATTTGCCATGAAGTGATGGGACCGGATTTCATGATCTTAGTCTTCTGAATGTTGACCTTTAAGCCAGCTTTGTCTCTCTCCTCTTTCACTTTCGTCAAGAGGCTCTTTAGTTCGTCTTCGCTTTCTGCCATAAGGGTGGTGTCATCTGTGTATCTGAGGTTATTGATATTTTTCCCGGTAATCTTGATTCCAGCTTGTGCTTCTTCCAGCCCAGTGTTTCTCATGATGTACTCTGCATATAAGTTAAATAAGCAGGGTGCTAATATACAGCCTTGACGTACTCCTTTTCCTGTTTGGAACCAGTCTGTTCTTCCATGTCCAGTTCTAACTGTTGCTTCCTGACCTGCATACAGGTTTCTCAAGAGGCAGGTCAGGTGGTCTTGTATTCCCATCTCTTTAAGAATTTTTCACAGTTTGTTGTGATTCAAACAGTCGAAGTCTTTGGCATAGTCAATAAAGCAGAAATATATGTTTTTCTGGAACTCTCTTGCTTTTTTGATGATCCAGCACATGTTGGCAACTTGATCTCTGGTTCCTCTGCCTTTTTAAGTCAGTGTAAATTCTGTTTCTCTCTTTCATCATAGTTCAGAGGTGAGCTGGTCCCCGGGGCCCTAGTTTATTGCTTTGCCATTTGGTGGTTTATTCACTCAATCGTGTCCAACTCTTGCAACCCCATGGACTGTAGCCCGCTAGGCTTCTCTGACCAGGGTATTTCCCAGACAAGAATACTGGAGTGTGTTGCAATTTCCTTCTCCCGGGTATCTTCCTAACCCAGGTATCAAACCCGGGTCTCCTGCATTGTAGGCATATTCTTTACTGACTAAGCCACCAGGGAAGGCCATTTCCTAGCAGAGAACAGCAAACTATAGCTAGCAAGCCAAATCCAGCCTGTCACCTGTTTTGTCGAGAAAATTTTATTGTAATACAGCTTGCTAATTTATTTATCTATTATCTATGGCTGCTTTATCTCTGCAGTGACAAAATTGAGTCGTTGTGACAGAGACTATATGGCCCACAAGGCTGAACATAATTATTATCTGGCTTTTACTGAAAGTTTGCCAACCCTTGTTTTAAGGTGTCATCATCTTCATTATTAGAGCTGGCCTATAAGAACGTGTTCACATTGTAGCATGTTGGCAGGGGGAAGAGAGGACTTGGAAGGCAAGCTTGTATACCTGTGGCCAATTCATGCTGATGTATGGCAAAAACCATCACAGTGTTGTAAAGTAACTATCCTCCAATTAAGATAAATAAACTAATTTAAAAAATAAGATCTAGGAGTCACACATCTTACTTCTGCTCACTTTTCACCAGATAAAATTCAGTTACACAATGACACCTAGCTGCATTGGATGTTAGGGGTTGTAATTACTAGTTGAGCAGCCTTTTGCTCAGCTGAAATTCAGAAGATTCTATTGCTAAATGGATGATGCAAAGAAAAGTTACTGGAGGGCGTTTACCTCTGTGTCTCAGTCTACTCCTCTGGCTACCCATTATCGTTTCACACCCTTTTTCTTACTCTTGGAACTTACTTAGCCTTTCCCCGTAGAAGATAGCCCAAGGTCCCATCCAGTTAACTGTGTTCAACCCAAAGTCCAGGCTCTCTGGATGGTGTGCAGTCCACTGTTATATCTGCATGTAGCTTTTTATGGACCAGTAATCGCAAATTACCTTGTGACACCTCCTTTTGCCATATATAGTTCGGAGTAGGAACAGGATGACTCCCATTTAGGAAAAAAAGAATGAAAAACAGACAATAATCACTAGTCCACAGCAGTTACCACGTTCTTGTAGGTAGGGATTGTGGTCATTTCCTGTCATGCGGTGGAGTAATTCCTCAGCGAGCCCTCTGACTGCCCTTGGTTCTGCTCTCTGAAAGTAACTTCTCTGCCCATCTTTAAGGCCTTGTTCTCTAGGATGTTCTTCCTTGTTCACCTCTCTCTGTGGTTGAGCTTTGGTGATCATGCCTTCTTTAGCAGAACTTTCCCAGCTCAATTCCTATTAGTGCAGGATTCGGGCCACAAAGATTACTGAGATTATCAGTCATGGGTTTGGAAAGCCAAGTTACTGGTATGTTTAGCAATATGATTCCTTCACAACTGAGTAAGTTTCTGGACTCTTTGCTTCTAGTCAGCTTCAGGTAGGAATAATCATACCCAAGGTTTCTCTGGACATAATTTTTCCTCTTTATTTACTGCCTTCTGTATTCAGCTCTTTTTCTCTCCTCCATTCAGTAAGACTACCTTGAGGCCAGCTGAAACTACAGCAACCGCCCTTGATCTCATCTTTGACAGTGTGTTGCTTCAAGGCAAAATTCTCATCTTTGGTTTAGGGGTACAAAGCCTTTTGGTTTTTTCACATTCTGACTTTTTCTAGCCAGTTTTCCTAGGGCTTAGTTGGTATTTTGTTTGCATTCCAAGTTATTTTAGGAGACAGTTTACCAAACGTGTGTGTGTTTGCCTCACTGTGTGGCTTGCAGTATCTTAGTTCCCCAACCAGGGATCAGACTCATGCCCTCTGCAGTGGACATGTGGAGTCTTAACCACTGTACTGCCAGGGAAGTCCCTCCAAATGTTTTCTTATGCCTCACAAGGAGCCCACCAGTTTTCCATTTTGCAGTATCTGTTTCCTTGAGAACTACTACCCTATTTTTAACTCAGTATCACATACTTTAGTTTTTTTCAACAGCAACATCCTTCCTGAATTTAATAGTTTCTGTATTGATTAGGGTACAGATTAAGCTATTGTAGTAACGAAATCTAAAAAACACAACCGCACAATAGGTTAGAAATTTATTCTTCCTTTTCATTCATAACCTGAGGTGATTAGGACCATTCTGCTCCATGAGACCATTTTGGGATTCAGGTTCTTTCTCTTTGGTTTTGTACTCTTAGTATGTTCTCACCTGCATGATGAAATAGGCTTGCACTGTCATGACCACATTCCAGTCCGTAGAAAGGAAAGAGCTGAGAATAGAGGGTAAGCAATTCCTTTTCAAAACATGAATCAGGGATTACCCTTTACTCACCCATTCTGACATTGCATTTGTTAAACCTTAGTCACTTGCTGTCAGAGTGGAAAATCTAGGCTCTATCTGGACACCCATGTTTCTAGGAAGAATACTGGAAATACTGGACAGAAGGTACGATGAAGGCTGTGCCATGGTGCTTTATTTCGCCTGCATAAGGTGGGATTACCTGTGACCCCAAGTGGAAAACACTGTTTTCACTCAGCTTTGAATTGAGTTTGTCATCCACGTGTAGGAATCTTGTGTAATAATCAAAGAGGGTGAAATTAATTCTCATGTGGCCACAAGCCGCTGGTGGCTCTTTGAGAGGGAGGAGCTTCAGATGAGCAGTGGGCCGTCTGCTGGGCCGTGAGGCGCTTAGATGGCTTCTCTTTCTCCTTGGAGTGCGCAGTGAAACTCGCCAGGATGGTTGGCTATGTGAGCGCGGGGACCGTGGAGTACCTCTACAGCCAGGATGGCAGCTTCTACTTTCTGGAACTGAACCCTCGGCTACAGGTGGAGCACCCCTGTACGGAGATGGTGGCCGATGTCAACCTCCCTGCCGCGCAGCTCCAGGTGAGTCACCCTGCGCTCGGCTCCGAGGGCTGCCTGGAGACGTTTGGCATGAGAGGTGCCCGCCAAACTGGCTCAGCCAGCCTGTGTGAAGAGAAAAGTGCCTCCTGTCCAAGTCTGGTGTGATGCTCCTCTCTTGCACTGGATGGCTTGGGATGTGTGGATGGGTTTTCCTGATATGGATCAGTTCTGGAGTATTACTTTTTAGCCCGACACATCTGATATAAAATGTCATATTTTTGCAAGACTCTTTACAAATAATATGCTGTACTCAGGTGTTTTAATTCTGGGAAGCCTTACTTTTTAATTGTCCTCCACTCCTTTTTCTTCCCTGGAGAAGGAAACGGCAGCCCATTCCAGTATTCGTGCCTGGAAAATCCTGTGGGGCAGAGGAGCCTGGAGGGCTACAGTCCATCAGGTCATTTTTTTGAGCTTCCCCGGTGGCTTAGTGGTAAAGAATCCGCCTGCCAATGCAGGAGAGGTGGGTTTGATCTCTGGTTTGGGAAGATCCCCTAGAGAAGGAAGTGGCAACCCTCTCCAGTATTCTTGCCTGGTAAATCCCATGGGGCAGAGGAGTCTGGTGGGCTACAGCCCATGGGGTCGCAAAAGAGTTGGATATGACTTAGTGACTAAATAGCAGCTCCTTTTTCCTAGTGTAATTCCACTTCAGAGTGGTGGCTGAGGTTTTTCCTGGCAAGAGTGTGTCAGCACACATTTATTTTTATAATGTTTAAAGTAGCACTGTTAATATTATTTTCTCCATTCTGCCCAGGAAACAGATGCTGTGGGAAGCAGTAATAGCTAATGATGAAGCTTGATTTGATTTGTAAATACATACTCTTTGTCCACAATGGGAACCCCTTTTGGTCCCCAGTGGTCCCTAGTAAGGAACCCAGTAAATGAAGATTTATGTATATAAATCTACCTTTTCCATTGGTTTGTGGGGATAATTTGGAGGTAATTATGACATAGTTAGGACTTTTTAGCTGTCTGAACTTCTTGGAGAGCCACTGACATTGAGTCTTCACTTGGATATTTTCATTCTGATTAAAAATGTCATATTTTTGAAAGACATTTTACAAATACTGGTGATGGAGAAATGACGATTAGAGGGAAGCTCATGTCTATTGCATTAGGGATTTGGGGACTCTTTAAAAAGTGGGAAGTAATTAACACCTTCTGTGTGTTTTGTTTCAAGTAATTTAGAGTTGCTTATTCAGTGATGTAGAATGTAGACAATAAAAACAAAGTGTTTTAGGTGGTGGCTACTCAAGTGGAAAGTCTTCTTCGTCATCTGATAGCCTCCGTGTTTTAAGGGAAGTAACTGTGGAAGATGAGTGACGTGTGTTTTATTACCTTTCAGATTGCCATGGGGATCCCCCTGTACAGAATCAAGGATATCCGGATGATGTACGGGGTCTCTCCCTGGGGCGATGCTCCCATTGATTTTGAAAATTCGGCTCACGTTCCTTGCCCAAGGGGCCACGTTATTGCTGCTCGTATCACTAGTGAAAATCCAGATGAGGTAACACAGCACTTAAAAGGTTTGCACTTCTTTTTCCCCCACTGTGAACTTTAATATTAAGATGCTATCTGAGGGCATATCTAAAGTACCTTGGGACCTCCCCTGGAGAGGGAAATTTATAGAGGCTTCATGGGAGCAGACAAGTGAGTGATCACTGTTGCCCCGGCCATTGAGTCCTGCCCGTGTCACCGCCGAGTCCTCAGTGGGTCTGTAGCGCTGGACACTGGCCCACAAGCCTGAATGGTTTTCCTGTGCCATCTCCACTCATGTGTCTATGTGGTTACATAGAACCCGACCAGTGAGTATATGAACGTTCTCTTTCTTGTAAATATAACATCATCTCATATTCTTCACTCCCTAACAGGGTTTTAAGCCCAGCTCAGGAACAGTTCAAGAGCTGAATTTTCGCAGCAATAAGAACGTTTGGGGTTATTTCAGTGTTGCTGCTGCAGGCGGGCTTCATGAATTTGCTGATTCTCAGTTTGGTCACTGCTTTTCTTGGGGAGAAAACCGAGAGGAAGCAATTTCGTGAGTATAATAGCATGTGGTTGCATTTCAAAAAATAAACTTGTGGTAGTCTTCAGTGAAGTGTGAGCATGGGAAAGGGAATCATGTATTGCTATAGAAGCACTAATGTGGATAATCTTGAAGAAATTTATCTTCAATTGTAGTTGCATTAATGTTGTATTAAATTTATGCAGTGTTTGGCAGATGTTTTTCAGTCTGTTACTCTGAGCCTTTTCAAATAATTTTTTGTTTTCATGTGTTTTTGATCAACTTATAAAATTGATTACTCTAAAGATGTCATATTTTTCTATAGAAATAGTATTGTTATTTGGGGCAGAAGTAGATTTTTGACTAAGACCTTGGCATCTTATATCATGGATAAGATCCATTATTTGTCATCAAAATAAAGGTATAGCTATAAATGTCCTATAGTCATTTAAAATAATAAAGTTAAGCTGCTTGTTACATGAAAAGGGCTTAAGGGAACTATCCACATCACTTTATATGAGGGACCTCAATGTGCTATGAAATATATGCACAACTTACAATATAGCTAGTATATTATAGGTATTAGTTAATATTCTATTGAGTGTAAACATTTAATATTTAATTTAATATTAAGTTTTGCTTGCCTGAAAAGTAGGGCCCTAATAGGTGATTTTGACAGGTTAGATATTTTAGAATGTCTATCCAAAATTGGTTTACCTGTTTTATTTTTTTTAATTGTCGATTGACTTTCACCAAGGGTTTAATACTATTCCTTTGACTTTTAACCTGTACACCCAGATTATGTAATCAGTAAACCCTTTTTAATAATGTTTTCAGAAGTTGGGAAATCTCAGTTTTTCTGTATTTTGTGCTCTACAAAGCAGTGCTCCCACAAAAACCATCCGGTATAAAGTTGCTTTTTGCATCCTGCTTTGCCAAAGTGAAGAAAATAAATCTAATGTTTTGAATAAACTAGAATATAAACCTAATGTTATGAAGAAACTAGAGCTTGCACACCAGTGGTTTTCTGGCTAGTCACAGCCACTGATGTGTTTTGATTGGCTTATAGAGTATTGTTTAAAAAGTGGGAGATTGAAATAAATATATGCATTTCTGCTGTCTCTTGAAAAAAATGGGGTGACAGTAGCATTGGTTTTATATTCCACTTGGCCAAAGTTAACTGAGGCTTTGTGTGACTGCTTCTCTTAGAGGAAACACGAACTCTCTAGTTCACACAGTCCCCCGTCCAGCCTGCCTCATTCGTTTACATCCCCAGAGTGGCCGCTATTGATATTTAGGTTTCCATTCTTGATTGGCAGGCCACCAAGCCTTCTCTCTGGGACACGTCTTATGACTTGCTCCAAAAGTCTTGCTCCTTACTTCCCAGCCTGCTCTGGACATCTATATGCAGTGTAAAGCTGCCAGGCTAACGTTGAGCATATGAAAATTACAGTCTCTGCAATAAGCATGCTTTCTTTTTTTAATATTTTATTTATTTATTTGGCTGTATTGGGTCTTAGTTGTGGCACTTGGGGTCTTTATTGTGGCACAGGACTCTCTAATTGGGGCACGTGGGCTCCAGAGCACACGGGCTGAGTTGCCCTGCAGCATGTGGGATCTTAGTTCCCGGGCCAGGGATCGAACCCATGGCCCTTGCATTGCAAGGTGGATTCTTACCCACTGAACCAGCAGGGACGTCCCGAAGCATGCTCTTGACCCTGTGCCAGAGTTAATTCTTCAGCTCAGAGTTTGTTTCTTCTTTCTTCATGACATTAGGCTTATATTCTTCAGCCTGGTGTTCACTGCTCTTCTCTAGACTAGTTCCAGCCCATGTTTCCCTTATTATTTCCAATGGACTATAATCTAAATACCACGAGAACAGAACTGTGTGTGTCTTGTTGCTGAGGTGTCCCCTGAATGTAGTAAGTGTTCCATCGATGCTGAATGAGTGGACTTGCCCCTCATCCTTGTCCTCATAACTGTCTGCTTCAGCTGTAACATTCCCTGGACACATCCCCTCTTTATTTCCTTTTTCCCTTTGTTTCTGCTGTTCCCTCTCTCCATTCATTCATTTACTCCATTCAACAAATACTTACTGAATATTTTAATGATTTCTTGCAATATAATGAGGACCACCATAGGATCTGTGCCATCATGGAACTTGATGATCCAGGGTAAGAGAGGCAAGTAAGCTATTGAACAGAATGTAGGAGGTGCTGTCTCTGATAGTGAGATTACGTGAGGGTGTTACAGGAGTGTAGAGCTGAGTCAGCTACATCCATCCAGAATGGGTCAGGGAAGGTTTCCCAAAAGGAAGGGACGTCTAGATGCATATCTGAAATGTGTAGAGGAGTAAGCCAGGCCAAGATAGGACATAGAGAGGAGGATGGAGATGGGAAACAGAGTAATGTTCTAGGCTGAGAACTCCTGGGCCACCTGGAAGAATATTTCTGTCACAGTCATAATCTTAGCTTTACTTTTATTCCATTTCAGATCCCGTGTTCTTTTTTTCCTTAACTGAGGAGTAGATGATTGACAGTGTTGTCTTAGCTTCAGGTGCACAGCAAAGTGATTCCGTTTTTTATATATATTTTTTCAGATCATTTTCCATATAGGTGATTATAAGATGTTGACTGTAATTCCCTGTGCTATGCAATAGATCAACATTGCTTGTCTGTTTTAGGTGTAATAGTTTGTATCTATTAATCTCATGCCCCTAATTTACCCCTCCTCACTCCCGTTCCCCTTGGGTAACCATAAGTTTGCTTTCTATGTCAGATCTTAACATTCTTTATGAAACCAAGGGGAGGCGGGACTTCTCCCTTCCTAGAACCCCTTGGCGCTTTGCTTTTATCTCTCTTCTGGTATTTATGATATTCTGCCATAAATGTTTAAAGTGATTACTGTCTCCTTTAAGAGCTTAGTATGTGTCTTGAGTGTGGGATGCATAATAAATGTCAAAGTAAGGACCTGCCCTGTTCAGGATAATGCAGAGCAGAAATATACTGGGAAAAAGCTCACAGTGTTGAAATCTTGTTAAAATGTGGTTATTTAACACTTAATTGGGAAGTAAGCAAAGTAATGAGCAAGTTATTCTATAGTTGGCTAAAACACAGCTTAAAAAAAGAAACACTCTTACGTGCAGTGTCAGGCTGAAACCCAACTTTCTCTTTCCTGGTTACCTTCATTGTATGGAAACCTTTAAGTTAAGGTCTTAGTGTTTGTAAAAATTCATTGAACAGTGTACTTAAAATAAGTACATTTTATTATATGTAAATCTTATTTAGATAAAATAAAAAGGGCTTAAGAAGGGGATAATTATGCCCTAATTCTAGTTAACCATCAATCAATGAATGGAATGATGGAAACAGTGAAAACAAAGGGTGGTTTGCACATAATTTGTTCTGTGTTCTGTATAACGAAGTGTCTGTGATCTGCTGATGCTCAGATGGTCGGATTAGTCAGACTCACAAGTTTGCTGACTTCTTGAAAATTCTGTCTGGAATGAGCACTTGTGTATCTGCACCCTCATTTGTTCTTGGGACTGTGTGTTTCTCTCCCCTCCCTCCTAAGACTCCAAAGGGATGAAATAGTTCTTGAAAATAGTTGAAAAACAGTAAAACATTTGTTGCTGAAAGAGATCTGCTTCTGTCCTTCTCCCAGAAACATGGTGGTGGCTTTGAAGGAGCTATCTATCCGGGGTGACTTTAGAACCACAGTCGAATACCTGATCAAATTGTTGGAGACTGAAAGCTTTCAGTTGAACAGAATTGACACCGGCTGGCTGGACAGACTGATAGCAGAAAAAGTACAGGTGGGTATTTCTCCACTTACACAAGCAGCTTCTGGGATTGGGTTTTTATAGGCTTGTGATGAGATCAGTCCATGCCTTTAGGCAAAATATATTTGATTCTAATACAAATGGTTCTAGGTCTGTGTGGAAAAGTCTAGGAGTCAGTGTGATTTTAGCATTGTAAGTAAGCGTTCTTGTGCGTTGTTATGCAGTCATTGTATGAGTTGTTGTATTACTTCCAAGGATATAGTTGAAGAGAGGCATGCAGCGATTGAAGTATTTTCTTTCTTCATTTGATATTAAATGTGGTTGAGTTCTGTCTGTCTACCAAGTACTGACGAGAGGGCTTCATTTTAGTTGACAGAGGTTACGCTTTGTTCCTGAACTGCTGGGCTAATATAAACTACTCAAGATTTTATATAAAATTGTTGGATTCACGTGTATTACCTGGAGGTAGTTTACACACCATTTTTCTTTGAGATCATCAGTAGCCAAATCTGCACTTTTTTTGAATTTATTTGTGACAGAAGCTTGTTTTTGAGCTTCTCTTCAATTGACTCAGTGAAAATCTTAGGAGGGTGGGGGGAAAGGTGGTTTTCATCTCTATTCAAATTCTAAAAATGTGTTTTTGTCTCAAAAATCAATTGGATAATGAGGATGGAGATTCTCAGTGGTCGCTGATTCTTCAAGCACATTTGAGCCTGATTTAAATTGAGGGGCCATGGTGCCAAGTGACTGAGTTTGCTTGTGATTTGCCTTCTTTTCATCCCTTTCAGGCGGAGCGACCTGACACCATGCTGGGAGTTGTCTGTGGGGCTCTCCACGTGGCAGACGTGAGCCTGCGGAATAGCATCTCCAACTTCCTTCACTCCTTAGAGAGGTAGGCTTGGCATTCCAAGTTCTGTGCAGGCTAAGTCGCGGTCCTGAGCACGGGCCTGACGTTCAGAGACCCATTTATTCTCTCTGTTGCTGGCAGCTTGTGAGTGCTACTTGTTCGCTGACTGTAGGGGCAGGGAGGAGAAGGGATGTAGGAGTTGATGGCAAATGGTTTGGGGGCTCTAAGTGTAGATTCTAGAAATTGGTTTATACCATGGTTAGAATTGGTTGCTTTGTAAACACTGAAATCTTTCTATACAAGCATCCAATCTCTGAGCCCTGGTGATAAAAATCTGGTGTTTTTCTCTAGTAAGGCACCCTGGATACTTCGTATATTACCTGCAACACCTTTCAGGAATTAATAATTGAGGCTGATATTCATGATGACCTCACGAGTCTTTCAAGTATAGGATCAGACTTGTGTGGCTAAACATATTTCCAGCACTGGTTCTGGAAACTAAGTTCTGCCTCCGAGTCCCTGGAGGAATTGTCCACAAGGCTAATCATTTACAGCACTTTATCACAGGCATTTAAATTCAACTGAGATTTCATTTATTCAAGTCTTACCATGAAGATCTCTCACTGTGTTATACTGACGTTCAGTATAAACAAGTGATATATTCACATGGTTCAAAATTCAAAAGGCAGTAAAAAAATATATAGTGATGAGTCTCCTCCTTACCTCTGTTTCCTGACCACCTAGTTTCCTTCCCTATAATCAGCCTATGTTTCTGTTTTTATTTTCTGTTATCTTTCAGCTATATGGCAGATACATATAAGCATATATACGTAATATTTGTTCCTTCCTACCTCCATTTTTTTTTAATCGCAAGTGATAGTGTACTGTGAAACTATCCTGTACAATTTCACTTGCTTTTTTTTATTTAACAGTGTGTTTTAGAGAGTGTTTCATATTACTGCATAAAGTACTTTATCTTTTTAATGGCTGCATAATATTCATTTATGTGGCCTTTTCAAAATTTATGTCTCTGTCCCTTACTGGTGGTCCTTTAGCTTGTTTTCAGTCTTGATATTCCAGGAAATGCTATAACCAATCACCTTTGAGAGCCCTTGTAAGCTTTTAGAACTTTCTAGAAGTAGCTCCCACGTTGCTGTATTTCAGGGGCCAAGTCCTCTCTGCACATACACTTCTGAATACAGTAGACGTTGAACTCATCTACGAGGGAGTCAAGTACGTACTGAAGGTATGCTGAACCTCATAAGGTCTGTGCTATCTTTTTTTGCCTCTGTCTTTGTCAGCTTGCTTCCTTTAGGTCAGGTGATGGAGGGAAAATTTGGTTTATTGCAGGGCTGGGCATGAGTGAAATTATAGTCATTATTAGTGTCAGTAGCCTGTGTCAAAGCAGTATTTGATGAGTCTCTGAAAATATTTTCGCTGTTGTTCAACTTCACATGTGCAACCAAGAGATGAAGGAGACAGAGACCCATCAGAGCAAGGAGATGTATCTAAGGTCCCCCTCGTTGCTCGAGGCAGGGCTGAGCTGTGCCCACAGCACTAGTGCTCAGATGCCAGAGCCATGAAAATAGAGCATGGTGCTCTTTCCTCTCCAGTAGAGCTTCCCTTAACAATTTTTATTTATTTATTTATTTTATTTGGCTGCTTCGGGTTTTAGTTGGAGCGTGCAGGATCTTTAACTGAGTCATGAAAGCTCTTGGTTGTGGCATATGGGATCTAATTCCCTGACCAGGGATTGAGCCTGGCCCTCCTGCACTGGGAGCTTGGAGTCTCAGCCACTGGACCACCAGGGAAGTCCCATCTGATGGAGCTTGCGCACCTCGATCTCTGAGATACTGAAATTTTGTCTGGCACTCTCCCTGGAAGGAACACACTGACTTGTCTCTTTGGTTTCTCATTTCTTACAGGTGACTCGACAGTCCCCGAACTCCTACGTGGTGATCATGAATGGCTCGTGTGTGGAAGTAGATGTGCATCGGCTGAGCGACGGTGGACTGCTCCTGTCCTATGACGGCAGCAGTTATACCACATACATGAAGGAGGAGGTGGATAGGTGAGTGGCTCTTTGGGCTCCGTTTGCTGGTCATTGTACCAACCTTTTCTCTCGGTAGGGCGTGTTTAACTCTTGGAGTTTGTCAAGGTCTTTTTGGGGAGTCTATTCTAATTTTTAAAAAAATAGAACATGTACCTAATAAAAATTTCAAGAGTAGTAGAAGTCTTTAAAATTAAAAATAATGTCTCTCCACCACTGTAGTGTGGGCAGATAATGAAAAATAAATTCCCTTTTTTATAGGCTACTACTGTTAACAGTTTCTTATATGTCTTTACTGAAATTTTGTATGCATATATAAGTTATATATACGTACATACTGTTTTTCTTTTAAACATATTCACAAATAAAAGTACCCTTTAGTTCTGCACCTTATTTTTTCCTTTAACATATTGTACACTATTCAACACCAGTCTTTATGGTGTTGTGATAATTAAATGAATTAATACATGGAAAGGGTATAGACCATTGCTTGAAACTTAGAGTTTGAAACATCTTAGCTATTACATCATCAGCACCTTCATGTTTTTTTCCTTCCTGCTCAATGGAGATGTCTGTCCTTTTTAATGGTCAGATAATCTTCCATTATATGGATGTACCATAATTAATTTAATTTGACCAATATTGAAGGGAATTTTGGTTATTTTGGCATTGTAAACAAAGATGCAATAAATATCCTGTGTGTATGTGTACAATGAAGTTTTCAGGTTTTTTTTAAGATTGACATCATTCTACCTTTATTCTTTACAACTTAAGATGCTTTATTAACTTAGATAACTCCCACTTATCTCCTAGATATCGCATCACAATTGGCAATAAAACTTGTGTGTTTGAGAAGGAAAACGACCCTTCGGTGCTGCGCTCACCGTCTGCTGGGAAGTTAATCCAGTACATTGTGGAGGATGGAGGCCATGTGTTTGCTGGCCAGTGCTATGCCGAGATCGAGGTCAGGGTGGTTGTTGGGCTTCCGGGTCATGGGAGGGAAGGTGGGAAAAGAGTTGGCTGGGGTGGACTGGGACTCAAGAGTAACAGAAAGGAAGTAAAAAATAGAAAGGAAAGAGTATCTGTTTGATTGGGGTTATGAACCTTAGCATTTTATTTATTTAAAAAATATTTTCTTGGCCGTGCCTTATGGCATGTGGCGTCTTAGTTCCCCGACCAGAGATGGAACCCACGCCCCTTGCGTTAGAAGCACACAGGCTTAACCACTGGACTGCCAGGGAAGTCCATGAACCTTAGGATTTTAAAAGCACATTAAAAGCTCATAGTTTTCCTTGGATAGATGAGGAACCTCTAGCTCTAAAGAATAGATCCTAGGCAGCGGCACTTATTGAGTGTTGGGTATTATGCCAAGGTACTGGTTATACAGAAAGAATATGATAGGTGGAATGGGGCCTTGAAACAGACTTGTAATGAAATACGAATTTTCAGAAGGCTGCACAAAGTGCAGAGGGCCACCTGCCCCAAGTCAGTATAGGGCTGGATGGGCAGTGAGAGAAGAATTCCTGAAAGAGGGGACTTTGATCTTGGCATTGGAAGATAGACAGTGATAGACCAGATGAGGCAGGCCAGGCAACGCTGTTTAAAGGTGAAGGCACAGCACGTACAAACGCACAGAAGCGAGAGCATGAGGTGTATAGAGGGAAGTACAGGTCCATATGGACATGGCTTGAGAACAGACTAAGGTTTAATGGGAAATGGCAAGCAGAGATGCTAAATGAGCCATCAGAATTTGAAATCAGGTTAAAAAACCTTATAAAACATACTAAGAAATTTAGACTCTCAAGACCAGTCGGGTCACTGAAGGATATGACACAGAAAAGTGATGGAATGAGATTTGGGCTCTAGAATGATTGCTTCTAGTGGCCTTATTGGAGGTGCATAACATGTAAAGATGTCTATGGGGAGGTTGTTTTTTTTTCTTAATTTTTAAAAAAATTTATTTGACTGCACCAAGTCTTCGTCACGACACACACACTCTTAGCTGTGGCATGTGGGATCTGCTTCCCTGACCTGGCCCAAACCTGGGCTCCCTGTATGGGAAGTGCAGAGTCCTCGCCCCTGGACCACCAGGGAAGCCCCTGTTGGGAGATTTCTGAATTCCTCTAGATCAGAAATGATAAGGGCCTAAACCAAAGAGTTGGCAAGACAGGAAGATTTTTGAGAGAGGTTTAGACAATGCATTCGACCTGGCTTGGTAACTGGCAGATAAGGGAGATAAAGGAGTGAGAATGATCCTTAGGTTTTGGTCTGGGTATCATAGATAGAGTAAGTACCTGGATCCACAAGTGTGAGGAAGATAAATTGTTCATCATTTCTCAGTATAAGACAAGTCAAAACCAACTATGGCAAAAATGGATTTAAACATTAGAAATGGGAACTATCGGTAGTTGTCATTAATCCCTAAAGCTAGGTCCTGAGAGATTTTAGTTTTCCTTGTAGGTGATGAAGATGGTAATGACCTTAACAGCCGCAGAGTCTGGCTGTATCCATTATGTCAAGCGGCCTGGAGCAGCTCTTGACCCGGGCTGTGTAATAGCCAAAATGCAACTGGACAACCCCAGCAAGGTCCAGCAGGTAAATAGGTGGATAGACACTTTTAATACTGCTCTCTAAGAGCTGGCTACACGGTAGGGGTGGTCTGGAGAGGCAAGTGATCTCAATCCTTGGTTTTCCAGTTTTTCCTTCAGCTTTTTACCCCTCATTTTATGCCTTATGCCTTTGTATTTGTGCCTTTGGTATCATGCATCTAGAATTTATAAGAGTTACTATGATATTAAGAATCTGTGCTTTTTCTCATGATGTGTCTCACATTGACTTCTCTCCTTGTCACTGGGTGTGGTAAAGGGAAATCTTTCTTTTTTTAATAAATTACTTTGACTGCATCGGGTCTGAGTTGCGGCATGCGGGCTCTTTGTTTCTGTGTGAGGGTTTCTCTCTAGCTGTGGCACACGGGCTCAGCAGTTGTTTTGCACAGGCTTAGTTGCCCCGCCACTTGTGGGATCTTAATTCTGCCTGGGTGGCTGATTGTTAACCACTGGACCACCAGGGAAGTCCCTAAAGGGAAGTCTTGATTTTACATGATGAATCTAAGTTGCAGTGGTGTGTCTGAAGGTAGTGGCTGACTTGATCTCTCATTGGGGTTGACAGGCTGAGCTTCACACAGGCAGTCTGCCACAGATCCAAAGCACAGCGCTCAGAGGCGAGAAGCTCCATCGAGTGTTCCACTATGTCCTGGATAATCTGGTCAACGTGATGAACGGATACTGCCTTCCAGATCCTTTCTTTAGCAGCAGGGTATGAGTCACTTTTCACAGGTGGGGCGGGGTAGGGGAGCAGGTGTATATCTTGGAGAATGGGTGTTCTCCAGCATAGTTTAAAATTCATACAGGGAATTTCTTTAAGAGGGAGGGAGGAAGAGAAAGCTGTTTGACCAAAATTCTGCCACTATTAGTTGTAGGATTTGAAGTCTTTATATCCTTGCTTCTTATCTCTGTCATTGACTTCACATTTAATTGGGATTTAAACCAGTGAACAATGACAATGTTAGTTGTTTATATTATAATTTCAAAGTAAGTACCGGCATACCTTGGGGATACTGCAGGTTTGGTTCCAGACCACTGCAATAAAGCGAATATTATAAGAAAGAAAATCACGTGAATTTTTTGCTTTCCCAGTGCATAGAAAAGTTATGTTTACATATTGATAAAGAACCTGCCTTGCCAATACAGGAGACATGAGATGTGGGTTCGATCCCTGGGTTGGGACGATCCCCTGGGGGAGGAAATGGCAACCCACTCCAGTATTCTTGCCTGGAGAATCCCATGGACAGAGGAACCTGGTAGGCTACAGTCCATGGGTCGCAAAGAGTTGGATACGACTGAAGTGACTTAGCAGGCACGTAGTCTATTAAGTGTGTAATAGCATTACATCTAAAAAATGTACATATCTAAATTTAAAAATGTTTTCTTGCTAAAAAAGGCAAATCATCTCCTGAGCCTTTAAGGAGTGGTAATGGTTTTGCTGGTGGAAGGTTTGAAATACTGCAAGAATTACCAAAATGTGACACAGAGACATGAAGTGAGCAAAGCTGTTGGAAAAATGGTGCCAATAGACTTGCTCGACACAGGGTTTTACATGAAATCTTGTTTGTTAAAAAAAAAAAAAACAAACTACACTATTTGCAACATACACTGAAGCAGTCCACTAAAGCGTGGTGTGCCTGTACTGTGTGGCAGTAAATTCAGACATATAATTTTGTTTGGGGGATTATGTTAATTTTGTCCAGATCCTGTTTTATTATTTCCTTCTTCTCAGGTGAAAGACTGGGTTGAACGGTTGATGAAGACCCTCAGAGACCCCTCCTTACCTCTCCTAGAATTGCAGGATATCATGACCAGCGTCTCTGGTCGTATCCCGCCCAATGTGGAGAAGTCTATCAAGAAGGAAATGGCTCAGTATGCCAGCAACATCACATCCGTCCTCTGTCAGTTTCCCAGCCAGCAGGTACTTACAGACTAACGCTGTCGTTGTCTGCTGGATGCCCACACTAGAGTTCTTGCAGGAGGAGTCCTTCCTATTTGGATCCTCCTCACTGTCTGGGTGTTGTACTTCTGAAGTTTTAAGCATTGTGCCCTGTACAAAACTACCTCATGATGCAGGCCCAGTAAGTTAAGTGTTGGGTGTAAAATGTAAGGTATCTGTGGTTAAGAGAAAAGCATATTGGTTGTGTACCCCATAGAGTTCTGTCCCTGGGGCTGCACCCTGATTAGAAGTATTTTTGTGATTCTAAAGCAGGCGGATATTTGTAGCTCTTTCATCAGAGACTTCCTCACTACCTCTATAGCATGCTTATTACTCTTTGCCTCTGATCCAGACTTACATGTAGGGGTAAAGCTGGACAAGTGGGGCATTAAGCGTGTCTTGCCTGTCAGGACCTCTGGTAAGGACGCTAGTTTTTGTGATGCACTCGTTAGTTCATCTGACAAAGGGGGAAAAGAAATAGAAGTTGCTTTCTTATTTATCATGAATGAACCCCTAAACTATGCCTAGTAGCATTCAGCTGCGCTCAACATGCGAAAGATAGAAATTATCATGTTCCAATGACAATAATTCCAGTGGAGACACAGACGGAGGGAGCTGACACGTGGGCACGGTGGGGGGTGGTGTGAGTTGGGAGAGCAGTAGCGTGTACACACTACCATGTGGGAAGTAGGTAGCTGGTGGGAAGCTGCTGCACATCGCAGGGAGCCCAGCTCGGCGCTCTGTGATGACCTGTTAGACAGCAGAATGGGGGCAGGGGTGGGAGGGACGCTCAAGAGGGCGGGGGTGTATGTTTACCTGTAGCCGATTCACTTTGTTGTACAGTAAAAATTAACACAACATTGCAGCAGTTATACTCCAATTGAAAAAAAACAACAACAGGATTCCTAGTGTTGACACTATTATGCAGGCTAATGTTTTGGGTCCCTCTGTTGAGTCAGGCTTCATTTTTCTCCTTTCTTATACTTTAGATTGCCAACATCCTAGATAGCCATGCAGCCACACTGAACCGGAAATCTGAACGGGAAGTCTTCTTCATGAACACTCAGAGCATCGTCCAGCTGGTGCAGAGGTAGGTTCATGGAACTCCAGTGTCCCAGACCTGCCCGTCCCCGCACCTTCCTTCCTTCTCAGTAATGACAAAGAGGTTTACCTTTAGTTCACCTTAGAGAACTTAGAAAGCACCTCGTATCTTAGAAAATACCTATGTCTACTAAATATCTTAGAATCACGAGCTAACTCTCCTACTTAGCGTTTCTGATGACTTCTTTCTATTTGGCATCTTTCCATCAATTATTAAGTCATGAATCTCACTGTTTTCTTTTTTCCTTACAATTTCCTTTGAAATTTTTCTTCTGGCATAGGGCCCTCTTTGACATTAACTCTTATTAGCTCATGGGATCAACTATTGGGCTAAAGGTATCTTCACAGGACTTTTTCAACTTTAAGATATTCATAAAATTTTCAGATTTCCCTTAGCCATTTCAAGGGTGTGGTGATCATTTCTGCTTAGCAATGGGGGACTGAATCAGCGTGGTGTTGGGTAGGGCTATCAAGTGGTTTTGGTCTTGTTTTCTCTCTCTCTTTCTTTTTTTTCTCTATTTCTTTATAAGGAAAAGTCTTGTCTGTGGCCACATTTCTTTTAGACTTGGATTTATGTTACTTATTTATTATTTTTGGTGGTGCTGTGCCGTCATCACTACGCACAGACTCTCTCTAACTGTCGTGAGCAGGGGCTTCTCTCTAGCTGCGGGCAACACCAGCTTCTTACGGCGGTGGATTCTCCTGCGGAGCTTGGGCTCTTGGGCGTGTGGGCCTCAGTGGTTGCCGCATGTGGCCTCAGTAGTTGTGGCGCACAAGCTTAGCTGCCCCGTTACACATGGGTTCCTCCCAGAGCAGGGATTGAACCTGCATCGCCTGCAGTGGCAGACAGATTCTCAGCCGTGGGACCACCAGGGAAGCCGGCTTGAGTTTAACTTGACCTGGTTAATTGATTCTAGACTGGCTCCTGTTCTATCCTATATACACAGGGAAAGCCGTTCTATAGGAAGCCTAGTAAGTCTGGGCCTTGGGTTTATTATTTCATGGTTGGTTATTTAACGGTGTTAGCCTGTCAGGATTTTCTTCTAGACTTGAATTTATGGTTTTTTTTTTTTAAATTTATGTTATTTATTTATACCTTCCTCTATTTGCCTAGGTACCGCAGTGGCATCCGAGGACACATGAAGGCTGTGGTGATGGACCTGCTGCGGCAGTACCTGCGAGTAGAGACACAGTTCCAGAACGGTAAGCTCCTTCCTGGGGCTCTGTACCCGAGACCGTTCCCTTCCCGGGGCTCTGTACCCGAGACCGTCCCCTTCCCGGGGCTCTGTACCCGAGACCGTCCCCTTCCCGGGGCTCTGTACCCGAGACCGTCCCCTTCCCGGGGCTCTGTACCCGAGACCGTCCCCTTCCCGGGGCTCTGTACCCGAGACCGTCCCCTTCCCGGGGCTCTGTACTCGAGAACGTCTCCTTCCAGGGCTGAGCGACAGCTGAGCCAGTCCATCCTGTCATCAACACTTGACATGGACAGCCCTCTTCCTCCTTTCACCAGTCTGTTAAAAACTAAGCTACTCTGTCCCACTAGCACCAAAGAAAGAACAACAAAACACAACTTGATGAGACTGTAAATTGGTGTGCTTCTGCGAGAGAGCTGAGATAATTTCTCTAGTAGAGATTAGCATTCCCCATTGGCCTCCTCTTGACCTTGTATAGTGAGGGTTACTTGAGTCAGACCAGGCTGAAATTGAGAAAGCCTATCTGAAGAGCTTGCCTCTCAGCAGCTCACCCATGGAATGAATCGCAGGCATCTGAAAACGGCTCAGATTTTCCAGTGCTTTTCAGTGTATCGTTTAGGTGGAATTTATCCATCACTTTCTCTATAGTCACTAAATGACTGCTAAGTCTCAAACACCATGGCTAAGATTTTAAAGCTACATACTGTGGACACTGCTTTCTGCCACAAGATGGCAGTGAAACACCACAGAATTTGAAAGATTGCCTCTTAATGCTCTTTGCTCTGTTTTGCTCACTTTTCCATCCTTAAAGGATGACTCTGCCACTCATGACAAGCAGAAATACTCAAGTAAATATTGCAAACTGAATCTGGCAGTGTGTAAAATAATCCGTCACAACCCACAACCCAGTTGTCTTTATCCCACTAGTGTAAGCTTGATTAATATGTGAATCATTTATCATGTAATGCATAAAAAGAGGAAAAAACATGGCCATCATCTTAAGATATGGATGATAAAAGCATTTGACAAAATTGACTATCCATTCATGATAAGTACTTGACCAACTGAGAATGAAATGGTACTCTTTATCATGTAAAGTTCTCCTACAAAAAATCTATAGGATACATCATACATAGTGGTAACATGTTGAAAGCAGTCTCTTTAAGATTAAGACAAGAATGCCTGCTATCATTCTGCTCTTCAGCATCATACTGGATATCCCAGCTGCTTTTGTAAGGCAAGAAAAAGATCAAAAAATATGAGGAGTGGAGTAAAGGTTTGGATAGGAGTGCAGAAATACATCAGCCACTATTACATATGATAGAGGTCTACCCGGAAAGCCTCAAAGTATCCACATGTTTATTATTAGAATTATTTAAAATCTAGCAAAGTTGCTGGATACAAAAGTCAGTATATAGGGCTTCCCTGGTAGGTCGGTGGTAAAGAATCTGCCTGCCAACGTGGGAAACAAGGTTCGATCCCTGGTCTGGAAAGATCCCATGTGCCACAGAGTAACGAAGCTCATGCGCCATAACCACTTAGCCCACCCGTGGCAACTCCTGAAGCCCACCCACCCTAGAGCCCGTGCTCTCCACCAGAGAAGCCACCACAGTGAAAAGCCTACACACCACAGCTAGGGTAGCACCTGCTCTCTGCAGCTAGAGAAAAAAAGCTTGAGCCACAGCAAAGACCCAGCACAGCCAAATAAAATTAATTACATAAATTTTAAAAGTCAATGTACAAAATTAAAATTTTATGGTATAATAACTGTTTAGAAAAATATTCCATTTGAAATAGCAACCCAAAATATGAAATTCTGAGGAATAAGTCTAACAAAAAAATGTGCAACCTTTTTTGGAGAAAGTTGTAATCAGTAGAAATAATAAAGAAGATCTAGATAAATATCATGGCCTTGGATTGGAATATATATATTTGCAAAGTGTTAATTCTCCCTGAGTTCATCCGTAGATTCATTGACTTTCCAATAAAAATCTTACTAGTGTATTTCTATGGAATTTGTCAGGCTAGTTCTATAATTCACATGAAAGAAAGGTAACCAAGATTCTTCTAAAGAAATACACTGTGGAGGTATTTGTCCAGTTAAATATCAAGATTTGAGATAAAACCATATTAATGAAGAGATTGTGATATTGGTGTTAGGACAGATTAATAGAACAATGGAACATTGGCTCTCTTAGCCCAGAGGCAGATATATGAAAAATTACTTTACAACAGGGCAGGTGTTGTAAGTCATGGGAAAGGATAGTTGCTACTAGGTAATGGATTATTCATTTGCCACCGCCCCCCAGCCCCCAAAAAAGATTCCTAGCCTAGACAAGATGCCCCCAAATCGATTCCAGATTAATTTAAAACTTAAACACATGCTAAAGGGGCAAAGCTACTCAGTTTTTAGGAGAATATCGTTATGACCTCAAGACCAAGAAGATTTTGTCACGTACAGCCGGAAGGAACAAACTATAAAGGAGAAGGATAAATAGTTTGACCTCACTTAAGAGACTGAACTAAACTGAAGAACTTCTGTTCATGAAATGATCCCATAAAAAGACTTTGAAAATACAAGCCATAAAGTGGAAGAAGATATTTACAAATCATAACAACTGAGAAAGGATTAGAATCTACAGAGCACTGCCTTGAGTCAATAAGTAAAAGACAACCTAATAGAAAAATAGGCAAAAGATAAAAAAAAGATAATTTGCAGAAGAGGAGACACAAATGATCACACCCAAATGATCAATGAAAAGATGTTAGATCTTTTACTAATTAGATAGCTATGAACCAAAACCACAAGATTGGCAAAAATTTTAAATTCACATCATCTTCCACCACTTCTGTAAGTAAAAGTGCAAATTGTTACAACCACTTTGGAAAACAGTTCATCAGTACATAATGGAGTTGAACTTATTTATATTCTTCAACCTACCAATTTCACTCTTAGATGACATGCTTTAGAGAAACTGTTACACATGTTTATTAAGGAGACATATACAGGACTGTTGGTGGCAAAAAAGACTGGAAACAACCCAAATATACACAAGTTGAATAGACAATTGAATTCTAGTATATTCCTACAATGGATTAGTCTACAGCAGTGAAAATGGAACAAAGATGAATCTCCAAAACATAATGGTGAGGGAAATAAACAAGTTACAGAAGGATCCAAACACAATGATTCCATTGTTATCAAGTTGAAAACAGGTAAAGTGAATATAAACATACATGGATACATATATACACACACACACACACACACATTTGTGATAAATGTAAAGAAGAGCAAAAGAATGATTAACATAAAATTCAGTTTAGTGGTTATCTTTGAGGAGGAGCACATAGAACCTTCAAAGATACTAAAAATGTTCTGTTAGATGGTAGTTACTTGGGTGTTTATTCTTCTGAATGTATATTTCACAATTAAAAGTTTTTCTAAAAGAGGCACTTGGTATCATTGCTTTCTTTCTGCTTAGTGTCTCCACTGCCTCTCCCCTGGGGAAATGTTCTTCATGTTTCCCCTGGCCCTAGTAATTTCCATTACCAAGATACATTTCTGTTGTCACTTTAAGTCTTAGGAGAAATATGAATTTATGTAGGATAACCTACAGCTTCCATTTTGTCCCAATTGGATCTTTAATGAAATTGACAGCTCTCTAAATATTGAAGTTCACTGTTTTTCAAATATATTTAGTTTGATTTTGAAAAAAATCTTATGTCAGTCACTAATATTTAAAACAGATAAGGGACTTCCCTTGAGGTCCAGCAGTTAAGGCTTTGCTTTTCAATGCAGAGTGTGTGGGTTTGATCCCCGGTTGGGGAGCTAAAATTCCACATACCTCCGGTCCAAAAAACCCAAAACATTAAGTGGAAGCAATATTGTAACAAATCCAATAAAGACTTTAAAAATGGTCCACATCATAATAATCTTTAAAAAAAAAAAAACAACAGGTAAAAGCAGAGTTGCCTTGATTGATTGTACTTAATGTTCTGGGAATCCATGGCAGTGCAGTTTGAATGCCACTGTTCCCGTTTGTAACTTAACATGCAGTCTGAACTAAGTGATAATCCTTTAGTATTTCCATGATTTCATAAAAATTCTGACCCTTGAGACTATTCAGATAGATGCTCATTCTCCTTTATTTGTAAATTTAATTCTGAGGTAAGCTGTTTTCTAAAGAACTGACTATTACTTAGATCCCATGTTAGAAGTCACTACGGTATACCTGAGGCTTATGTTTCTGTTACAAAACATAGCTTTGCAAGTGAGAACTAACCTGCCCCTGGTGGCCTTGTGAAAGGCCAATGAAAATAATGCATAACTGTACTCTCCCTACAGACCTTTTATCTTCAGGCAGGGTTCTCTCTGATCTATGCCTTAGTTTGGATTTGGAATTCCTAGGCATTGCTTAACTACTCTGTGGAAAATGTTGATTCCAGAGGAAGCAGCCATCCTTCTTGTGGATACTGATAAGTTTGGGTGTTTTAGTTTTGAACTAAAACCATGCCTTCTAGTTGGGGTGAAACAGTTTCAGTGAGTCAAACATGGAACCAGAATCTCTAGCTGGGGTTTAATGGTGCTGACATTTCTTTTTAAGTAGCCGAACCCTCTCTTCTAAAACCATGTTGCTCAGGTCGTGCGCTCCGTCTTGTCCAACTCTTTGCAGCCCCATGGATGTAGCCCACCAGGGTCCTGTGTCCAGGGAATTCTCCAGGCAAGAATACTGAAGTGGGTAGCCATTTCCTACTCTGGAGGATCTTCCCAGCCCAGGGATCAAACCAATGTCTCTTGAGGATTGGCAGGTGGATTCTTTACCACTCGTGCCACCTGGGAAGCCCCAGGAAATCATTGCAGGAAGCTAAATAAGAGAGTTTAGAGTAAGGATTAGGGGGTGGAATCTCGGGCCCTAAGACACACCCTTCCCACCTGTCAAATTTTTTAAATGAAAATAAGACTTAGAGAGGTAAAGTGATTTGCCCAGGAGCCCATCACAATTTGATAACAGAGCTAAGCTTTGAGCCCAGGGCTTTTATACCAGATTACCTGACTCCTAGCCCAGAGTTGTTCTTAATAAACCACACTGCCAATTCTATAGAAATCTGTCTAAGAAAATTCTCAAGATGTTTCTTCTCACTGCTTATTAATTTTCTAAATAGCATGTAAATGTGAATGTGCATACATGGGTGGTGACCACTTCTTTTTGCTGCTTGTAGGTCACTATGACAAATGTGTGTTCACCCTCCGGGAGGAGAACAAAAGTGATATGAATACTGTACTGAACTACATCTTCTCTCATGCTCAAGTCACCAAGAAGAATCTGCTGGTCACCATGCTTATCGTGAGTACCATTTTTCAGAACCTGTAAGGATGGTTCACGATATGAAAAAAAGTGTTTCTCCCTGTGATGGCTATGGTCAGAGGAACAGCTCCTGTCTTATGTGATTCTGGGATGAGTGGGGCTTGGGTTTTGGGTTAATAGTTTCTCACGCCTGTCTTTGTCCTTGACCTGAAGGAACCTGCTCCAGTTGGTAAAGAATTGTTCTGCCAGTTATTCATATCATTTTTTAACATTATTTTTTAATTGAAGGATAATCACTTTATAGAATTTTGTTGTTTTCTGTCAAACCTCAACATAAATCAGCCATAGGTGTATATATATATATATCCCCTCCCTTTTGAACCTCCCTCCTGTCTCCCTCCCCACCCCAACCTTCTAGGTTGATAGAGTCCCTGTTTGAGTTTCCTGAGACACACAGCAACTTCCGTTGGCTATCTATTTTACATATGGTATTGTAAGTTTCCATGTTACTCTTTGCACACATTTCACCCTCTCCTCCGCTCTCCCTATGTCCACAAGTCTATTCTCTATGTCTGTTTCTCCACTGCTGCCTTGTAAATAAATTCTTCAGTACCGTTTTTCTAGATTCTGTATATATGTGTTAGAATATGATATTTTTCTTTCTGACTTACTTCACTCTGTATAATAGGCTCTAGGTTCATCCACCTCATTAGAACTGATTCAAATGCATTCCTTTTTATGGCTGAGTAATATTACATTGTGTATATGTACCACAACTTTATTCATTCATCTGTCGATGGACATCTAGGTTGCTTCCACGTTCTAGCTATTGTACATAGTGCTGCAGTGAACAGTGGAATACATGTGTCTTTTTCAGTTTTGGTTTCCTCAGGGGATATGCCTAGGAGTGGGATTGCTGGGTCATATGGTGGTTTTATTCCTAGTTTTGTAAGGAATCTCCATACCGTCTTCCATAGTGGCTGTATCAATTTACATTCCCACCAATGGTGCAAGAACGTTCCCTTTTCTTTACCCCTCTCCAGCACTTACTGTTTGTCGACTTTTTGATGATGCCCTTTCTGACTGATGTGAGGTGATATCTCCTTGTAGTTTTGATTTGCATTTCTCTAATAATGAGTGATGTTGAGCATCTTTTCATGTGTTTGTTAGCTTCCTATATGTCTTCTTTGAAGAAATGTTTGTTTAGGTCTTCTTCCCACTTTTTGATTGGGTTGTTTGTTTTTCTCGTATTGAGTTTTATGAGCTGCTTGTATATTTTGGAAATTAATCCTTTGTCAGTTGTTTCATTTGCTATTATTTTCTCCCATTCTGAGGGTTGTCTTTTCACCTTGCTTATAGTTTCCTTTGCTGTGCAAAAGCTTTTAAGTTTAATTAGGTCCCACTTGTTTACTTTTGTTTTTATTTCCGTTACTCTAGAAGGCGGGTCATAGAGAATCTGCTTTGATTTATGTCATCGGGTGTTCTGCCTCTGTTTTCCTCTAAGAGTTTTATAGTTTCTGATCTTACATTTAGGTCTTTAATCCATTTTGAGTTTATCTTTGTGTGTGATGTTAAGAAATGTTCTAGTTTCATTCTTTTACATGTAGCTGTCCAGTTTTCCCAGCACCATTTATTGAAGAGGCTTATTCATATCATCTTACTCAAGAACTCAAAGCCCTTGACTCTACTTAAAGTTGCCTCATGTTTCCCCATTCCTGTTGTCGCTCATGACAGGAGCTTTAAAATGGATTCTTATCTAGCCAATATTGTTGTTTAGTTGCTAAGTCATGTCTGACCCTTTTGTGACCTCAAGGATTGTAGCCCACCAGGCTCTTCTGTCCATGGGATTTCCCAGGCAAGAATACTAGAGTGGATTGTCATTTCCTTCTCCAGGGGATCTTCCCAACTCTGGGATTAAACCTGTGTCTTCTCCATTGGAAGGAGGATTCTATACCACTGAGCCACCAAGGGAAGCCCTATCTAGCCAGTGTACTGTCCCATTATAACTTTTGTTTTTTCTATGAATGTCAGCAATGGCTCTCATGTCCAAAACTTAATAACAAAAAACAACTGTTAGAAGTCTCGTACTGTTCCTCCCTGATTCAAGAAACACTTAAGTTTCTTCCTCATCTTCTTTGATCCCCCTTTCTGTCTTATTTATATGGATGTCTAAGCTCAGATTATTGTATTGGTAGTAGATACATGCTTTTGTCTCCATAACTCAGTAATTTGAGAATTAGTAGAAAGAGGCAATGAGAAGTGAGACTAGTAAACGTGAGTGGGACTGATGTACATTTAACCAGTGGGTAGAATTTTTGTGGGCTTAAGGATTTTTAAAGATGATTTGTAACTTCTCCACTCGCCAGTTTTTCTGGCTCATTCTAGGAATCAGAGGACAATAGGACTAGTCTTCAAAACCTCCCCCGACCAGTCCCATTCCATGAACAATTTCCCACTCCATGAACAATTAATTGCCTTGCTGCTACATATTTGTGTTTTGGGGAGACTATATTACCTTTTTGCTCCTGTGGTTTTCTTTCTTGCCTTTTTGTGGGATTGGCATTCTTGGAACCTTAATTCCATCCTTTCTTCTTGGAGGAAAAAAAACTATACATCTTCTGCTATATTTTATTTCATGGTTCAGAGTGAAAGGAAACTATCTACTTCACATCTCTGGTTAACAACAGTGCCACTCTCTCAGTTATCTGCCTAGGTGGCTAACTCTGGAGGATATAACATTTTTTAGAAATAGCCACTTTAAAAAATATGTAATCATAGGGAGAGTTCATTACCTTTGCTACCCTAGAATGGCTAGACGGTGGGGAAACCAGCAGATGCATTTGAAAGGAAAAAAAAAATATCAGCACAATGTAATATTTCAACTTCTCCAAGTGATAGGTTTCAGCAAAGAAGATATTACCTTTGGCAACCTGCTGATTTTCTTTCTCTCAGTTGGAAGAAGGAAGAAACCTCTGACTAATTAGATTTTTTTCTTAAATTTTAATAAAAAGGATTGCTAATTCTCCTTTGGTTAAAGCCAAGACTTTTCTGGCAGGAAAAGGCAATGATGAGGATGTGGAAGAATCTGTCAGTTTGGACCTAAAAATGGGGTAGAATTTGCCCTGTTAGGAAGCTAATTATAGTGAGTTTTCATGTTATTATGATTACCTTTTTAAGGACTTAACAGTTTTTCTGCACTAAAAATAGACCAAAGCCCAGAAACCTTGGAGCAGCAGAAGAGTAATGATTGTCCAAGACTGTCGCTGGGTTTCTTAAATTCTAATTTGTAAGATATAGGGGCTCGGCTCGCTCCTTTTGCGGAGTGATTGTAAGTAACGCTTGCCTTAAGAATCTCATTATTGGAACACGGAGCCATATTTCCTCAGAGAATTCTGGAGTAGCTTTGAGCCGGGGCTGTTCATTTCTCAAGTAATCACGCTGGTGTGATGGAGAGAGAAAATGGCAGCTGTTCGGAGCTCAGGCCTTCAATTTTCTTCAGAGTCCAGTCACTCAAGTGTGTAATTACACGGGGGGTGCTGCAGAGGCGTTGGGCCCTGTCAGAGAGCTGGTTTGAGGCTGTGCTTTCTGCTTTTGCCAGTCAGGACAGGCAGAAGCCAATGGGACTCTGGCTTGCTGCTAGTTCTTTTTTCCCCCACCTTGTCATCCTGATTACTTCTTACCTGCGTGGATGGTACCCAAACTTTCTTTCCAACAGGCCGAGCTCTTTGGAGAAAAGAGTCATTTGTTTAGTGTTTTGGTTTCGATGAATAGGAAGGAGAGGAGGAGGAGGGGGAGGAGGGGTGGAAAGGGAGAGGGGGAGGAGGGAGAGGGAACGGGAGGGGGAAGGAGGAGGAAGGTTGAAGATGTGAACCAGAAAGATGGATTCTTCCTTTTCTTTCTTTTGGCATTTCACATTTGTCTTTAAAAAAAAACAACAACAAAAGAAAACTTGGTAAACATCTGTAGGCTTTTATATCATTAAATTGCTTTTGAAATATCAGTTATTTTGACCTCGTCCCAGAGATTTGGAAAACAAGAAGTTAATTGCTGTCACTGAGCTGAGGATCGGCTAGCAGTGACTTGGGGAGCAGGGACGAAGGCTGGAACAGGGCTGCTTTCCAATCTGCCTTCTTTGGGGGGGGGTCCGGTCCCCCACCCCACATCTGCATTAGTGGAGGGGGTGGCTGGTAAAAGCCATTTCAACTGTTCGGATTACTCTCTCTGACGGCTATCACCTGGCTATGGCAGCGTTCCCTTCCCCCAGCTTGCAGTCTCTGCTGGATCCCCTTTCTTTGCTTATCTTGGCTTCCTGATCGATGGTTATATGCCCAGCCTTCCCATCTTTGCTTTCTAGAAGTAGGGCTGTCGATGGTGTGCTTTGCTGAACTAGATGATGATGTCTGGGCCTTCTGAACCTCGAAGGTGGGAATCAAGAGGATCAAGCTTCTGAGAATCAGTGTTGCAGAATGTGTGCTGCTCCGAGGAAGCCTTCCTTCCCTGCCTTCCAGGTGGTGGCATCACTTGCCTCGTCTCACTAGCAAATTTCGTCCAATCTTTCGCTGTCTCTGGAGAGCAAAATATCAAGTAAAATGCTAAAATCTTGTCCAGTTTTCTCCATGTGGAGGAACGTTGTGCTACATTGAAAACAAAGGAAGTTTATTTTTTGAAAGCTCTTATTTCTTAATTTTATAGGAAAACGCTTAGGACATTGTTTATGTTTGCTCAGAGATGTTTGAGGGACTCTTTAACCAAATTTTGTGCTGATGAAAAGTATCAACCTCTTCACAGCTCTAGATGTACGACTCTGTGTCTTGTACCCACCTTGATTCTGAGTAGTCTTCCCTCACTACTTCTGTCTTATTTCTGGTGTGGTCCACATGAATGTGTTATGGCCTATGCTTTGCTAGGAGTAGTGGCATGCCTATGAGCCTCTGATTTGGTTTAGACTGTGCTGTGCTTAATCGCTCAGTCATATCTGACTCTTGGCGACCCCAAATACTACAGCCCGCCAGGCTCCTCTGTCCACAGGGATTCTCCAG